CCATTTGCTTGTAAATCAATGAGGAGAAAAGGAATGAAATACAAAAAGCAAACATCACAAGGTTTGCATCCACAGACAATACTTGGGTTGTGGTTTAGTTTTCTATCAGATCAAACATGTTTGTATAACAACTAAGCACACTGCTCCAGGGCACTCTGTTACAATACACTTTTATGTGCAATTAAACACGTTTGGCTCATTCTTCTGTCTTTAAATTAATTTCTTGGCCTCTGCAAGTCTCACCCATCTCTTCCCCTACCCTCAAGGCAGCTTTCGGTTTCCCCAGGCACTTTTCCAAACATGCTGCAGATATCAGAGCAGGAACATGTGCACAATTTTCCATCAGCCTAAGTGCAACAGCGGCCCTGGCAGGCTCATCTCTCCCACAGGCAGGGGTCTGGTTTACCTGGGAGGATGCTCACCAGCTGACCCTGACACAGCTACACTGTGCACCCATCTGAACTGCATCAAGGCTGCCAACATCTACAAGCTGAGTGACGCTGCCCCAGTTGTTCTCATTAGGTGATGCAATTAAATGCCGAGAGCTCATCAGCTGAAAAGCACTCGAGTCCACCCACACCAGCCCCCTCACTGCCAACTGACACACTGCCTCTGGGTTTGCCCTTATTAACTAAAGTCTCCAATAAAGCCATCATTATGGCATTTACTCAAAGTCCATCCTCGCCGTGTTGGAAGAGCAGTGTCTACACGTGGCTAACACCACATCACCAAGCTTGGGCAATTTCAAGCAATCAGTATTCCCACCCCTAATTGGGCACGCCTCACACCTACTCCACTGCAACACCAACATCCTCGTGTTGCTATGGGGGATTTAACAGCCACCAGATCTCCCACAGCTGCGCAACACAAAGGAAATAAGGCAGACTTCTGCAAGCCGGGCCCTCCTCTGGGAATCGTACCCTCCCCAGAGCCCAGAGCAGCCAGCAGCAGCTTCCTCGTGCTTGTCGCAAAGAGCTCTGCCTTATTCCCGCTTCACTCGCAGACTGACATCTGCTCCTCCGAGCCCAAAGCAGGCGTTTCCCGCACATGCCGCCAGCAGCACCCAGCCGCGACGCTCCCTCGAGACCCCGCGCCGCCCCTTACACGACGCCCACCGGGCCGGCCCTGAGGCGGCGCCGACCGTTAGCACGCGCGCTGCGTGCCCGCCCCGCCCTCCGATTGGCCGGAGCGCCAGCCACACCTGCGCGCGGGCCGGGCCGTGCGCTCCCATTGGCCGGCAGCGCGCACGCGCCCTACGGCGAAGCGGCGGGGAGGCGCTGCCGCCGCTTTCCCGCGCGCACGCCCCCCTCCTTCCCCCGCCGCCGCCCCCCCTCAGCTCTCTCCCGCCGCCGCGTCGCTTCCCCGCCGAGGGGCGGCGGCGGCCGGAACGGGAAGCGCCGAGCCCCGTCGCGCCGCGGCTCTCCCGGTAGAGGCCTTTCGCCCTCTAGCGCCCCAACGGCCGCCCCGCGGCCGTCGCTCCCTTCGGCGCCGCCGCCGCCATTCCGCTCCCGGCGCGGAGAAAGAAACGGCGGAGGAGGGGGTTCCGGGCGGGGAGAAGTGCCGCCCGCGGCCCCGCGCCGCCCCTCACCTGCCGCTCCCGCCGCCTCCTCTCGGCCTGCCGCGCTCGGTCTCTCGCCGCCCCCCGGCCCCCGCTCGCTCCGCCTCAGCCGCCGCTCCCCGCCCGTGCCGTACGTTAGGATGGCGATGGCGGCGGCTCCTCTCGAGGGGGGTGGCAGGGGTTTCCTCCCGCGCCGCATACCGCCTCTAGGAGGAGTCAGTCCCCGGCCCCGCTGCGGCCCCCCTCTCGCCGCCGCCCTCCCCGGGCCCCAGGGCCGCCGCCGCCTCCTCCCCCGCGTCCCCCGCCGGGCTGCGGGCAGCGGGCCCGGCCGGAGCCCCGGCCGCCTCCCGAACAAAGGGACTCGGCGCTCTTTGTGTCGCGGGAGCGCTTCGGGTGCGAGCGACCGCCGCCGGGCTGCCGGCCGAATGAAAGCGCAGGGACTGCTTTTATTTCCCCCCGCCGTTGTGCGGACGGGAGACCTCTGCGCTGCGCCCCGAGCGCTTGCGTAGCGAGTCTGACGGCTGTCGGCGGTGCCGAAGCGATCGGGCGCCTTAACGCGCCTCCGCGGCTGATCTCGGGGAGAGCCTTACGTATAACGGGCTGTTGGTGTCATTCGTGCGCTAACGCCGCGCGCTGCCTTCTCCTGGGTGATGCTGGGGGGCTGCGGGGAAGGCACGGCGCCGAGCAGGTGGCTCCAGCGCGGCCATGCAGGCACCCGTGCATCCAGCAATCTCTTTGTTGCTGGAAAAACCACCGAGGGTTGCCGGCTGGCTGGAGCTGGAGCTTGGCTCTGCCGGAGGAAATGCTTGTGCCCCCACACAACTGCACTCGGTAAGGAATTTGAGCTATAAGGTGTTCCTCTGGGTTACGTACGCTGTGGACCACGGTGTCTCCCAAAGGAAAGGGTGTGACTGGTGTCAGCCGGGTGCCCCTCGCTGCGATCCTACTGAGATCCTCTGCCTACGACAGCTGGGCTTTAGAATGGAAATAAAGCAAGTTGCTCAACAAGAACTGAACACTTGTGCTTTGATGCTTTGGAATCACTTTTTTCCCCCCACTCTGGGCCCAGAATGTTTGTGGTGCGTGAAGAAGAGTGGATTCTCATTACAGCCCTACCTCAACGGGCTTTTCTTTCTTCTCCTTGGGTGCTTGGCTGTGCAGGGCTCCTGGGATGGAAGCACTAGTGATGGGAACCTCTGTGCCAGAACTGGATGAAGCTGACTGCAGCTTTACTGGTGGATGTATGGGGCACCATCCTATTGCTGTTGTGAGATAGCAGAGGTTCATGTCTTTTTGTAAAAAAGGATCCAAGTACGTTTAGTTCCCAGCTCTGGTCAGAGCTGAGCTGAACTGTGACACACAAAAGAAGCAGGCAGTGGGGTTGCCTATGTTACACAGTGAGAACGTGATGGAGGTGGTTCTCTCCGCCATTCCTGCTGTGCACAGAGGATGACTGATCACCCAATGATCTTGGTCGGGGTAGCTCCGTGTTCTGGTCTGTTAAAACTAGTCATTGGGGGAAAATTGTAAACAACTGGCATTCCTCAGGCAGAAAATGGACAGCGTTGGATTGAGAGCTTGCGGAGATTGCCCTTGCTAGGTTATGCAAAGACCATCTGCCGGTTGACTTCTGAGCGCAAACACAGGCTGTTACTTTGTCAAAATAAACAACCTATCTATTGACAGAGCAGTTATAGACTGCTGACTGCCTCACTCACCAGTGAGCAGAAGCGCAGCCTGTTTATGGCACTCTCGCTTTTGGACAGAAGTTGTTATATCTCAAACATAGCAATGAATATTTCATAACGTCAGAACTGAAAGCTATGGCCTCACTCTTGCTTAAGCTGGCGGGCATCCAGGGGAGCCTTGGCAGTGCGCTGATGTTAAGTTCTCTGGAAGCTCTGACTTAGATACGTATATAATCCAGGAGTTTTATCAAATCAGTACAAGTGTTGTCATGTCGTCAGGATAGCCTAATATGATCAAAATTGATGTGTGTATATATTATGGCAGTAGATAACACGTGATAACCGAGCAAGTAATCCATATTTCTGTCATGACTTTGCTTTTTCCATTTGCAGCCATCCCTCTTCCACCCTCTGCAGCGTGCATGGCTTTGTGGTGCTAGTAGGTTGTGCGCAGCAAGCACTTCAATACAGTAGAGAAGCTAAATCCTCATGTTTTGGAGAACTCTCTTGTTGGAGACTATTATTAAAATAGGAGTGTATCATTGGACTGACAACAGTATCTTTTGGAAATACTGAAAAAAAAAAAAATGAGGGAGGAAAAAAAAAAAAGAGGAAATATTATATTCAGTTAAGGAATAATCTGTAGGGTTTTATTCTCCAGAGCTCAGAAACAATAGCCACAGACAGGCGAGGTGCAGGGAGAGGTGGCATGGTGATCGCACGTATGGAATGTCTCCTCTGAATAATTAAACACGTTAGGGCCTTGAGCAGAGACTGAAAGGACACAGCCGATTCTTTCTGCTCACCCCTCCGTACCTCTAAAGGAACACTATTCAGATATTGAGCTCCTGTTCAGCCAAGAGGAGCGTGCTCTGGGGTAGCAGCCTAATTTTCAGATGTCTCAAGTTAGACGAGATGAATGTACCGCTTGGGTACAGTGCGATCACCACAATAGCTGTCGTGGCATTCGAAGCCAAAGGAACCTTCCCCTTGTCACCATGCCTTGCCAAAAGCAAGCCAACAGGCCAAGTTCTGCCATCCCCAAAGGCTCTGTCTTTTGGGTTTTTGTTTGTTCTCCCTAATCATTCTTAGAAAAAAAAAATATATATATATATCAGATTTTACTTAAACCAGGTCACTTAACAAACAGCTCTTGGGTTTTGAGAGTGGCACACACCTTGTTATTGATTGCCTCAGTATTTAGTGGAACAGGACGTCACACCAAAACGATAATCATGGTGATCTAAGTAAAGCAGAGCCATTCAGAGTCAGCCTCTGCTTCCTCTGGTCTTGGCTCCATTTCCCTGTTTGCTAAATCCCTCTCATTGTCACAACTCAAGCAGCTTTGTGTTTTGTGGCCGAGTTATTTCAGGTTTTAGGATAAGGCTGGTCAGGCAGCAGGAGGATTCGGGATCTCTGGCCTCCAGTAATACAGCTCCACTGATGTTGCTGCTTTTCCCTTAGCACAGGCACCAAGTCGGACTCTGGGACCCTGTCCTGTAGTCAGCTATTTCCATGCGGCTGGTGCAGTGGTACGAGTATATTTGGTACTTCTGTCCATCTACCAAATGGGTTGAGATGTGCTACCCACCTAGTTCCCAGTCAGCAGGGTGACCAACTAGCAGCAGATGGCGTGGTTTCCTTACAGTGTTGATCTGAAAATCATCCCCAAGTGAGAAAAGAGGTCAGAGAATTCACGGTTTATCAGTTGGCGTTAAAAGAAAAGACAAACTATGCATAAGTAAACAGGTATTTTTATAAAAGGGAAAAGAAAGTATGTACATCATACGTAACAAATGCAGATTGTCCTGGAATACGTATGCTTTAAAGACAAAAAAATAGTCAAAGCTCTTGAATTACTGAGGAAAAAGTAGAAAAGAAAAAGCAAATACTTGTTCTGGCTGAAGAAGCTCCTGCTACGGATGAAAAGATGATGGGAAAGAACAGCTCTTTGTTCTCTCCCTCAGACCAATTATTTAGTGTGGAATTTTCTTAAAGGCCTAAAAATTCCAAGCTGCATCAAAAGGAGTTGAAATAACACCTTAGAGTCAGCAGTGCAACAACAATAATGACCACTAATACAAAATCACGTTACAGCACTTCAGCAATGAAAGCCAAATAGCATTCTATATTTAATACTAATACAAGTTCAGTATAAGCAGTGTAAAAAGCAAATACAGACTCAGATGTCTCAATCAAACAGTGTTCAAGAGACGCACAGAAGCAATGCCCTGTCAGTGTTTACTCATAACTCATCACTACGGCTGCATCAAATACTGCGCGTTCTATGCCACCAAAGAAAAACTAAAAATCTCTCTCGTACCATTCAAGGAAACCACTTATGTAACAACTGATTGCTTCAGAAATCATCCTCCTGCAGGGATTAATGAACTCACATCTGACCAGCATCAAACGATGTGGTGCCCAGGTTGCACGAAGGTGAGAGTTGGCTGCAGTGCCAACGATGTGAGCGTTCCAGATGCGAGCACCAAGGGATGGCATGCTTTCTCTGCAAGACTCTCCAGAAGGGTGAAGCTGCTCTCTCCATGGCTCTGCCACTTGCGTGCAACATCAGAGCAAAAGCAAATCTTTGCAGGAGAGCAGAAGGGAAGATTTACTGAAGAAATATTTTTGAAACAGTATTGTGAGAAAACAATGGAATTATCACAAAATGGAATTTCATGCTCCCAGCAAAACCCTGCTGGGAACAATGGATTGGCAAACACAGCCAAGAGAAAGCAAGAATACAAGATCCTCTCACATCTATCACTAACACATTTAACTTACTAACCTTGAGTCTAGCAGGATTTTCTTAAGCAAATGACAAAAACAAAACAAAACAAAACTCCAATATCCTGACTAAATTCTTTCTGTTTGAGAAAAAGCATTTATTTGATAACTTCAGCAAGCAAACAATCAAAGGAAAACTATAAAGCTAAACTGATCTTGCTATGTAGCATTTTAAGCAGTAGAAGCTTTACAGTCACTCCTGAAACGACTAACATGTGCAGTCTTAATTCTTGTTCTGTTTTGACAACAAAGGGCTACAAGAAGGCAGGAAGGATAAATAAATAAAAGTGATTGGAAGAATGATCAAAATGTGATCAATTGAGTATTTCTAAAAAATGCAGAAGAGAAAATACCCATTTTGCTTGGGCCATGAAAAACAGGAAGCAATATGGGGCAAAGGGAGAAACAAAATGTGTAGAAGAAATGGTTGCCCTCATCCAGCAGAGCATCATCCCGTTGAGTATGCTCAGTGTGAAGCAAAGCCCAAGGACGAGCTCAAGAGGAAGTAAACTGCTGGGTTTAGAGGGGAAAACAATAGCAATAATATAGTAAGTAACTACCAAGAGCGTGCCGTTCTCAAGAAGCATCTTTAATGGCTGGTTGGCTGGTTCAGAGCTTCTTAGCTAAGTCGGTGAGATTTTAGGCTGTAGAATGCTACTGAAGAGAACACAGTGACTCTTGCCAGACTCATTTTGTTATGACAGACCACTTAAGAACAGGAGAGACCAATCGGCTGGCCTGTCACATAGCCCTTTTAAATTCTCTAGGTGTAGAGTTCTAGAGAAACCATTTTGTCCGGGAGAGGTCACTGGCACCTGGTCCCTAGGCACGGCCTGTGGGGATACATTCATCCCTGCTGAAAATTGGTTTGCCTATGGAAAGCACCATCTTACTGTTGCACTTAGGGAGAAAAAATAAACAACACAACAGGAATGTCCTCAGGACACTTTGGGTCAGGAACTCCTACAAACTTATTCCAGAAGCCCATTAAAAATATATTTAAAGGAAAACTCTAGAAAAGAGCCAACACATCGCTCCAAAAATATCATTAATAAAAAGAAATGTAGAAGTGATGTTATCTAACTATATACATAATTGTTTTTGCTAAAAAAAAAAAAAAAAAAAGGAAAAATGCACACCTACCGCCTGCAGTTCTGGTCAGGTTCTCCCCTTTTCCCTTCCCCCCCCCAAAACAAAAAACAACATAAAAATAAGAACTACAAATAAAACAGAGAAACCCTTTCATCAGCCTGGTTCCTAACTGAAACAACGTACTGCCTTTCTACTGTACTTATGGAGTAAAGATAAAAATTGCAATTAGGGTTCTGTTGTTCAGGTGAGACTAGAAGTAGGACTTGTTAATTCTTGAGTTACATTAGAAGTATACTTTCTGTGCAATGGTGAGAAGAGGTGTCCATGGGATTCCAGAAAGGCAGGACTATTCCAGATGAATTGACCAAGGCTATTTGAATGAAGGTTACTACTTCTCAACTTTAAAATAGATCAGTATGAACTCACAATCAGCTCTTTCTCTCTGAAGAAACAAGAGTGGCTTGTGATTTAGTTCTGCCTAATGGCTTAGATAACATTATTAGCTGTAATAATGGCCCTGATTCACCAGAGTACTTAAATATGCAAATAATAGGCCAACGGGAATCACACACACAAAGTTAAATATATGTTTTAATGCTTGGATAAATTGGATTCCCAAGGTACTCAATGGAGTAGAAATGTTATGAGTCATGTCTGCAGTATACATCTGCAGTAATTAATTTCAGTTTTTTAACATATTGCAAGAGCTTTGGTGGAAAAATACTATGGAGTACATGCAAATGGAATTTAACCTTCAGCAATGGGAACTGAATGAGGGAAGCTGGGCTGGTATGAAGTATCCCCAGCTGGATGTCCTGACTTCCAGTGCATCCGTGGCACCCCGCAGCACCTTGCCAAATCATCATTTCCTTAACCTGAATCTATTAGAACACGTCACTGTGGGACTCAACCCTTGTGATCATTAATTTCCATCTGTAAGTAGACCTGTGGAGAGGTACCCACCAGAAGGGCCTCAGTAGGACAGCAGAACAGTGCATTTCTTGAGGGCTCCAGAGAGAACACCTCCAGGAAGCAAAGTACAGGAAGCAAAAGAACAGTTCAATGAAACTCTGTTGTCCATAGTCCTCATTTTCTTTCTCTGACAAAGTACTTCATGCCTTCAAAATCCAGCACGGCTTTCCCTTTTCAGCAAAAGGCTTAGCTCCTTTCTCCTTTACCAGGAGAAGGTGGTGTGTGAGGAAAAGGTTTCCTCACGCCCTCTCAGAGCAGCAGTCCGAACTGAACACATGGGGCTTGTCTGACTTTTTGGAAGACAACTGTTCAAGAGGATTTCTTTCCTGGATCAAAGGATCCCCCCATTGAAATACTGTCTGTCTTGCACTCATTTATACAGCGATTGCTGGGACATGAGCCTGATTCTTCATCTGAAGAGTCTGACCACAACAATAGACTGAAGTGAAAAGAACCAAAGGAAAAAATATGAATAATATAAATGGTGTCATTTTCCAGCTCTGCCACTGGCCTCAGAGAGAAGACAGGAAGCAACGCAAAGAGTGTTGTCACGCTGACTCCCGCACTGCCGTTATCCAGGCACAGCTTCCTGGTGCGCAGTTGAAGAACTCTTCCTAAGCTCCAAGGAGGGAACTTGCAAAGCATCTCAGCAAATCTTCAGGAAGGTCCCTCTTGTTTCTTTTTTTTCTTTTTTTTTTGGCTGTCATTTCTCAAGCTTCTCCACCCTCAGACTCATCTCACTTTTTGGCTATCAGCCAAGGAGTTTGACCCTTGAAGCAGCAGACAAAGGATTTCACGTGAGAACAGCCAGTCAGAGCTAACAGCAACAAACAGCAACAGCCTAGCTACAGATTTTAGCAGGCAGGGATCTAGAAATGGAACCATTGCATTTGGCACGGCACAAACCCAAATTCAGTTCTTTGGGGTTGCTCTAGAAATGTGAGGCACTTATATTTGGGTCGGCACAATTGCACTCTGATTTGCAACCCCTGATTTATCCATAGTGGATGATGAGTTTTCTATTCCCACAGCCCTCGCGTTCACGCAGTCTGAAACACCTATCTGCTTCAGTTCAAAATACACAACAAAGGCAGGCTGTGGTCAGCAGCAACCACCGCACATGTTACTGTTTTCCTACCCTTGTGATAGGCAGGCAGTTACGTTAGGACAACACCACCATCTCTTTTATGATGGAGCAAATCCAAACAAAAGCAGTCCTCCCATGCAGTTACAACCACAAGCAACAGTTACAAAAGAAAAATATGACAGACAGCAAAGGGAACAGAAGTTACCAGCAGATTCTTCCGTGGATCTGTATGTTTTGGGGATGAACTATAGCCAGTGTTTTTAGGAAGGAGTAAAGCACTCAAACTACCTACCTTACAGGTCCAATGTTATAAGACCAGATAAGACATTCAATGCAGCTGCTGCTATCACCTTCTCAAACCAATCCTGCCAGCTGGTTGGGGTTTTATTGCTTTGTGTTCAACAGGTGCCTAATTAAAACACTAGAGCCCTATGGCATCCATGCTTAAATAAGTACTGCTCTTTTTACGTTAATGGTACTGAGAAAACAAGAATCTCTCAGTATTCCGCAGTTTGCTTTTTTTCTTTTCCAGCACCCCAAGCATCTCACTGCACGTGGAAGAGTTTCATCCAAAGGACAATGTTGGCATAGAAAGACACGTTTGTAAAAATAATGAACATTACAGGGAGTTTCTGTCTCCCAGGGCAATCTGAGAGTGGAGCTGTGGGGCAGGGAGCAAAAGACTCAGGGCAATAGAAACTCTGCTGCTTCTTAGAGGAAACTCAGTTCAGGTTTCCACGCTTCTAAGTTTCTGAGCATGTCGTGATGTTCATTTAGTCTGATTATTTTCTTAATGGATAATTTAGGCTTTAGACATTAACAAAGGTAGGACAAGGAGGATTGTTAAGATGTACACATGCAAATTATGATGACGCACTCCAAACTTCCATGCAACTTTGGTTAGCATTACAAGAGCTACGTGGATTGGTTTATCTAATAAATATTCATTAGGATATCATCAAGGTATTCTACCATATGTTTGATTTTAAATGAAGGTTGTTGCAGGCCCATGATTCAGGAAGATTCTTAAATTCCTGGACTTATCATTATGGGAGTTAATCCAGGTAAGTAATGGCTAAGGCCAGAGGCAAGAGTCAGCCAGTATGGCCTTTGAGGTGTTCTGTTTCTTGCACAGGCACTGGGCTGCCCTAAGGAACTGTGGTGGGTTGCACTTGGCTGTCTGAATCTGCTCATGAAACATCATCTTGTTCCACAACGATGAGTCAGGGAATCTCTAAGTTCCCATTATACTGTGTGTTTTCCCAGGAATACCTTAATTGAATCAACAGAAACCTGTAAATGTTTTTCTTTAATAAAAATACATCGTATTTTGAAATAATCTTGAATGACTCCAGCTTGAAAAAAAATTGCTTTAGAAGGTATACAGGGCAGTTTTTTTGGGCACTTTTAATGCAATAATTTATTAAGTTCCTATATCCATCATGTGCACACACGTATCATGTAAATATTACAGCTGTACTCCATGACAAAACAAGCGTAGTGAAGACATACACAGAGAACTGACAAACAGGGACGAAGGAAGATCTAGTATTTCCTGTACAAAAAATATGCAGCTTCTTGATAATTTGTAAAAATGCATAACTTTGAGCATTTCAGAGAAGAATGCTGTATAAAAATAAATATTCTATGTACAATAACACACACAGGCCAGTCCAGGGTTAGAACAATCACTGCAAAAGAAGAGATAAACAAACGTTAGTGCCAATTCCTCAGCCATGGGGAATGCAATTCTCTCCTTTTTCAACCCACAAAACTGAACACTGGTGTAAAACAAAGGAGAGTTTTGCTTCCTGCTTCTCAGAGGTATGGTCCTGGAAAACCCATGCATGCCTCCACCTATGCTGCTCTCAGCCAGACAGCATGCACTGCCAACTCAGCACAGCCCCACCATTTCCAAGATCGTTTTACCTTATTCCAGCAGCCTTGAACTGGAAGGCCGTCTTCTCCCTGCAGAAGCATGAATGAAATAGCAGTTTAGGAAACAGAAAACAGTGCAAAGAATGAGGATAAAAGGAATGGGTTCACTATTACAGCTGCAACAAACAGTCTGAACCAGGGTTGGAGGAATAGTTGGACAGATATTCCTCACCCCCTTGCAGTGACCCAGGCTTGTGGCTGAGCCTAGCTGGAAGCAAGGCTGGGGCTGGAGGGGCTGCCTGCAGGCTCACACCAGGGCCATAAACTTGTGCAAGTTTCTCCAAGGAAGGTGCTTAACCAGGCTTCCCTCAGGGAAGAGAGGAACAGAGGAGGTCCTGTTCAGCTAGGGAAGTATAGCAGGAGGTTGGCCATGGAGAACACAAGATGGCAGGTCTATATCCTAGACCTGGCTATATAGCACTGAGGTGGGTTATCATGCCTGGCACAGCAAGGCCAGGCAAACCCTGGCCAGAGGCAGCGTTAACTTTGGCTCCTGAGGAGGGCCTGGAAAAAAATTCCATCTCCTTTCCACCCTGTGTTGAAAGGTTTGCTTTATCACGTGGCAGACTGCTCAGCTGTCCCCTCCTGCTTCTGAGAGGCTCCTGCTCCAGGATCTCAGCTGGCTCTTTGAATGGTTGGTTTTGTGTTTTTTGCCCCAATAAACCAGTGAAATTTCTATAAAATACCCTCTCAACTCTGCAACTCCAAAACCTTGGGCTACAAGGCCAGGATGCAATTTTATTATTTTTCTATGTTGAAGGTTGGATACTTCAAGGACTTTGCCACTAAAATATGTAAGACTAAGCATTTGAGAAATGTGTTTGTGAATAACTGACATTAATTAGCATGTAACAAGAGAAAACAGGAACCCAGTGTTGATAATAATGTGCTCTTGAGCAGATGAGCTGCTGGAAAGTCAGGCCCAAGAAGCTACATTTGCAGCATGAAGTCAAATACTTCTTGTGTGTGCGTGTGAAGCTCTGGGGCCGATTCTGTTCCCCATGAGAACCCCACTACAGGCAGTGAGATTGTACAAAGAGCCAGGCAGGCAGGCACATATCTTCAGTCAAATGACTCAGTTCTCACTTCCTCAAGTACCTCATGAGAAAGTACATCCCATTTGAGAAGGGAACAAAACACAGCAAATAGAAAAGCAAATGCACAGTAGCATACTGGGACAAAAAGTACCTATCAGAAAGATGCTTAGAAGAACTGATGCTTATCATGAACTGATAGTGTCCTGATGCTGCAACCATGCTGCTTTCTGAATCAATTTTTTGGACTATGGTCCCCCTTGTGGTATATTTTCACCCCCCTCTCCTCCCACTATGGGGAAATGCTGAACTTTAGATCAATTGACTACTGGGTAACTTGTGGCATTCCCATTGGTACTCTGCTGGTGGTAGGAGTGACTGGTGCAGTGCGTTGCAGGAGGAAATGGAAAGTTAGGTTCATGAAGGAATGGAAAGGCAGAGTTATAGTGTAGGGATTGAAGGAAGACCAGGGTCATAAGGAAGTGTTTGTTGCAGGCTAATTTGCAGAGAATGGAAATGGGACATGCTTATTAGTATCAAGTATCTCCATCCACATATCAATGTGTAAATCATTAGTTCATGGCCTCCATAAGCTATGCGCATGGGTGTGTCAGCAGGATGCTAAGCTTTTAAACAAGCTGGATCAAAACCCATGCTTACTCAAGTTCTCAAGCTAGTTTGCATGCCAGTATGCTGTTTGTGTAAATAAAAATAGCATCTATGTTTCTTACAGATTTTCTTACCACATTTTCTGTCAAGTTTCCTTAAAAAAATAGGCATGAAGAGGTGTGCACTGTAATTTGGCCAGGAAAGGCAGAGACAAACAAAAGGCAGTCTGTGGGGGCACACGCAGAATCTGTGCCTGGCACCTGTGAAATTAGGTGCTGTACTCAGACCAAACTTATTCCATAGGAATTCTGGCTATTGGCAGTGGGAGGTGAAACACATGGCTTTTGTTCCTTCACAGGCATGATCTTGCTTCTGAGATTTGCTTTGTACTACCTGGAATTGACAGAGTGGCAACTGAGGCTTTGCAAGTAGTCACCATGCTGCTATGAAGAGACAATGGTTATTGAGCATACTGAGGAGGGAGTGCTGGAAGGAACACCAAGGCTGGCACTTCACAGAGGCCAAATAATGGAGGCTTTCATAACGACAACTCCAGGGCTAGTTTCCCCAGGAAACTAGAAAGCCCTGCTAAACATGGTATTGCGTTTTTCCTCGGGATACATTTTTCCAGCCAGTCGAAGGAACTGATACCACATCTCTTGCAAATGAAAGCAAACATCTCTAAGTGAATGTAAGGTTTGGAAAGGTCATCCTCAAGCAAACCTAGCCATGCTAAATGGGAGCAGGAAGGGCAAGAGAGCACAAGTCTCAGGGTATTATGGAGTGGTGCAGACAGCTGGAGGGGGCAACAACCTCGCCCAAATGCAGCACGTCCACAAATGATCTCTGTGAATGATACTTATAAATCAATTGAGGTTAAGTGTTCCTGAATACCTTTTGTGCCTCAGTAGTTGGGTTAAATGAAGCACTAATACAGTGATCACTTTTTAATATTAGAATAGACAGATATGGGAAAACAGGTGATTCCAAGTTCAAGATTTTGGATGCTGTGGGTACTGTTTTCATTTCAGGGAAGAATCACAAACAGGAATTATCTAGTGGGAGCTGAGGGAGGTGTCTAGTAACGTCTCACATGGGCCTCTAACAGCTGTATTTTTCCAGTCAATATTCAGAGTGACTGAGTAACACAGAGCAGTGTCAAACTGCTAAACACATACAAGCGATTAATGTTAATGAAGGATGAAAGCATTTCAGCTCCTTGGCTCAGAAACCAAGCTAGTGCAGAGGCAGTCTTCGTGCATTAGTCTAACAGAAGATCTCAAAGTGAAGGCAAAGTGAGAACTGAAGCAGCATTTAAATTCTCATTCCTGCTGCATTTTCCCTCATGCCATAAAGTAACACTGGCAGCAGCTGTGAATCATAGGAAGAAAAAGGCTGTTTCTGACAACAGCGGTGTGAAGGAGGTGGGATGGAGAGAGGTGAGGAAAGAGCTGTCATACATCTCTAGGGCATGCAACTACATGGAGGTACCAGAAAATAACAACCAAGATATGAAAGCAAACAAACATGCAGGAAAGGGAAGGTACACCATACCAATGGGCATGGGGCATCCAGCCCGTCCAGCCCAGGTAACCCCGGCTCACCCTTCTCGCCTTTAAAACCTCGGAGACCCTGTTTATGAAATCAACCACTATCGTTATTTCAGTTGATGCCAGTCACCTCCATGGCACCGGAGGACAGGCACGGTCCTGCACTGGGACTGTCACAGGGCACTCTGCTGCATACCCAATATGGCACTGTTCTCTGTTTTAGTTTGTCTGTGTGATCAGCTGCCTGTTTTTCTGCAATCTACAAATCAGTGTGAGTGAGTTAAACTGGAGATGATGGGAACTGTATCTCATCTGTTTGCAAATCATCCGTTCTTCCTACCCTCACTGGAAATTCCAGCACGTGAATTTCTAGAAGCATGAAGCACAAGTGTTCCTGGGATTTATGGTCATTTCTGGCAGCACGTTCACTGCAGTGCATGAGTTTAGATGAAAATGTATACATATTCATAAATTTACATCTAGATTTACAGACAGTGTATCTTGGCACAAACGTATTCCATTGAAAATAACTGAGATGTGCTTCCAGTCTGGGTAATGCGGCTCGAGTGTCCTGTGTCATTCTCAGGCAATTACATTGGCTGGCTGTTACTCCAAGGCAACAAAACCAGTTTTGCTCTTGTGGAGACATGATGACACTGAACGCTTCCAAAGGAAAATCATAGCTAGCAGCAAAGGAGGTTCTTTTTTCCCCACCAACACATCTTAAAACAACGCATTTGATAAAACAGAACATACCAACGGACAGGGTGCATCTAATCCAGGCGCTCCTTGGTCTCCCTTATCCCCTTTAGACCCTCTAGAGCCTTTCTTGCCCCTCTCCCCCTGTAAATAACAGTTTAGTCCAAGAAAAAAAGAATACACAAAAGCTTTAGGATCATCCATTTCAAACAAATGTCAGCAATAGTTTAAAAATGATGAACGCGTAGGCAACATTTTAAAAGAAGAGAAACCTCCCTTTGAGATGGTAAGTGAAGAGCAACATATGGTACTACTAACCTTTCCTAAGCTGTACAAACACAAGGGCCATTCCTAAAATCCCACACTGACAGATGATGGCAGGCACTGCATCAAAGGAAGGTGGAGTGCCATAGCAGCGGAGCACTGCACTGTTGTTATGACCACTTCCCTGGGCTTCTCATATGCCAGTGGGAAGAGAGGATGGGAAAACCTCCTCCAGACATTGTATGCTACTTGCTCTCATCAGCTGGTGATTGGCAGCAGTGCTCTTGGGAACAAGCCTTGAGGCAGAGCCCAGTCAGGACCTCCTGTTGTGGTTGTGAGGCATTGCTGGCCCAGGCTCCTTGTGCTGATGTTACTTTTTCTTCTCTGAATTCTCATTCAGAAATAAATTCTCATCCATGGGAACGTTTTAGGAGGAGAAAAAAGCCACTGACATAACCAAAGAGGAGCCTTGTTCTCCTGCAAGGGGAAGCAGTGGGTCAATGAAAGCCAGCCATAGCTGTGGCCAAGGGAATGTCCAGATGTCCTATGGTCCCTCTTCAATGAGAGATGATATGTCCTACCCACAGCAGGTCAGCCAAGGCTGGGTGTTACATGGGTATTTGCTGGTCATATTGACAGCAAATCTTTCTGTATAACTGAGGAAGTTACCAAAGCTGCTGAGCATAAACAGGGAAAGGGGCTGCTGCACAGGGAATTGAATTTAGGGTCCTTGTGGGGAAGGTTAAAGGAATTTAGGGATAACATCAGACAGCACAGGCTGCTGTTTCTTCTTTAAAATGTGTTAAACTCAAAGCTGGCAGGAGAAATGGATGGGAGAGCAGAAGCAACGAGACGGAATCACCCAGAACCAAGCACTGGAACAGGGAATGATCCAGGAAAATACAGCATGGGTTGCTCTGGAGGGAGGAGGAAGGAACCAGGAAGAAAGGCGGAAGAGGAGGAAGGGATAAAGGGGACAAAGGTGGACCTGTAGGAGCGAGGAAGACACACACACACACGAGAAAAAAATACAGGCATTAGAACAGCAGCAAAGATATCAGCTTAGTAGCAAAAGATAGGGTTGACACTTTTTCAGCTGGGTTTTCTGAAGGGCTGTCTGCTCCCATCGTAACCTGGTGCCACCATCTTGGCTCTACGTGTCCCGTGCACTGAGCAACAGGCAGCAGGAGGGTTACTGGGGTTTAAAAAGCGCTACTTGGCCTAAAGGAACTAAGAGGGTGCACAGAGGGTTTTGGCAAACTGTTCAGAAGCTTAACAGAGTTGATTTTCAATTTGTAATGTACTCCACACTGAAAAGCTTCATATGAAAGTGCCATGCATACTGCAGCTGGCCAGAAAGAAAAAAAAAAAAATGAAGTGAGGTTTCCCAAAGAAACACATCTCCCACTTCCAAAAAGCCAGGTGTGGTATCCCTGGACCCACCCCCCTGTAGAACAGGTCAGGTCAGAGTGCTGCCTTTTCTTTAACTTCACAGATTTCTTCTCATTCATTTTGAGGTCTCCTGGCTGAACTGTCACAGTTTTGCCAGCAGTTAATTTGGGGGAGATTGTCTCTCATTTCTGAGGAGGTTCTGGCACAGCAGCTGTGCCCCACTGAGGGAAAACTAGTGCTCAGTTGGGAATACCAGGCAGCAGAGCAAATCCTGGGGAACAAGCACTGGGTCAATCTCTCCTAAATGGTGCTGGTAAGATGTCTGCAATGACTTCAAAGGGATGGAGGTGTTCAGACAATATAGCCTGAGAGCTCAGGGAAACCCTAGTAGCTTATTTACAGTCAGTGAAAATCCCAGCGAAAAACCAACTGAAGAAGTCTAGGAATTCTGTTATGGCCATTTTCTGTTTAGAAGCCACGTAAAACAAAACATCATACATCTTAATAAGGAGGAAGTTAAGAAGCAAAGCCAGAAATGGAATAATTAAAAAAGGGGAGAACTTTGGAGCTCCCAGGATACCTTTCTCCCCTAGTTTAAGATGCCAATTGGCTACTGCTTTTCAGAACTGCTCAATCTATGCAGAGTAAGATCAGAAATACATTGCAGATAAGAACAGAGAACACCGCTCAGTATGTACAAAAAGCAAATTCATATCATGAAATCACTGCATGGGCATATGAACTTATTTTCAGGTAAATTTAGGTGATACCAGAGTCTTATGAAGAAAGTATGCATGTGTATGTGTGAATACACACAAAAATACATACACATATACTATATTAAACTGCTTGATATATTTACACAATTGTAATCTTAAAACCATAATCCAGAAGTCATTTACACTTCTAGATATAAATTATATTCAACCATTGGTCTTTTTTCTGTTTTTAATCAGAAAGATTTGGGGCCTTCACAAACGAAAAACTCCTCATGTCACTGAGAACTGAATGGAAGAAGAGCTTCAATGCATGCTTTTTAGTCAGGGCTATCCTTCTAGAACACAGGTGTTTAGGCAGAAGAGCAGCCATTCGCAATATTGGTTTTGACCCAACTCTTCAGCACATCCACTCAGGGCAAAGCCTGAGAAGACTTCATGTCCAATTCTTTGATGTACATGAATTTATCATCTCTCAATTTCTCTCTTCCAGATTCTCTGGAGAATCATTTGCTTGAGGTCAACCTTCTTTATCATGCTTCAGTGCAAATTCAAAAGTAACTTAGTAAGATTTAGCAGCTGTGTCTCAGTTCTCATGGTAGCTCTCATAGTTCTCTACGTACATCACAAAACAGAGAGTAGGATTTCCTAAAGTGTGACATGTGGTTTAACTCTATTACACATGAAGCCCTATGCTTCAGTGACAACAGAGTTATGACAACAGTGAAACATCAGAAAATCCATCCTGCATCTTTCAGAGAGATACAGTGTGATGCCCTAGAGGATGACATAAACTACAGGTATCACCTTCTAAAATACAGGTAGTAAAGTGATTAATGTGAAAGTCTAGCAGACAGAATTACATGCTAGCTATCTTTACAATGCCCAGAAATAACCGCTGTGCAAAGAACAAAATTTGCTTGGTAACTTACCCGGATTCCTTTGTCACCTGGCAGACCTTGTAAACCCTGAAATGCATCAGCACAAAAATAAAAATACTTTAACATTGTATGCCCACTCAAAAAGAAGGATTTGTGCCCAAGAGTTTGTCCCTTCCGCTTATATCAATTACTAGATGGTGAAATCTAACATTTCCTGTAGACTACTTTCTTCCCACCTCCATTAGATCATCCAGGCTAAAACACCACTGCTTTTTCTCTAAGTCAGAAGCAAGACAAGCTGAAAAAACAGAGAATTAACTTCACTGAAGGCAATTTTTGTCACTGTGATGAAAAGACTGCCTTCTCAATGCGGACACCTATCTGCTTTATCAGGGGGTTGGACTTCATGATCTCCAGAGTCCCTTTCAACTCCTACAATTCTGTGATTCTGGACTAAGATACAAATCCTGGGAGTCTCACGCCGCTTCTTTTGGTAGTTTGAGGACTGTGGTAAGTTAACAGTTCCCTTCAGCTTTGTCTGCCTCATTCTGAATGACTTCTCTGAAACTACTCAGCTCTTTCTTTCACTCCCATAGGATATTTAAGCTCTTAAATTTGGTTATTTAACACCTAACCTAGCTGAAGTTGCAAATGCTATTTGCAACAGCAATTTAAGCTATCAACCACAACAAAATAGGAACTTGTAGATGGCAAATCCCTAGTACTCCTGTACTTACAGGAAGTCCTGCTGGTCCCATTGGTCCTACAACTCCAGGATCTCCTTTACTACCCTGAAATAGAGACAGAAGAGTAGAAACTGTTACATACCCATTCAGTATGAACAGGCAGCACAACAATGACTAACAAAATACTAGAGAGGAAATGTAAAAGATGTGTTTTAAAGCCCCTAAATCCCCAAGAAAAAGACAGAAGTCAAAGATGCCAACTGGGGGTCTTTCATACACAGAGAGAGAAAAAAATCCAGCTCCTAGAAAGACACAGAGCTTCCCCATTTTAAGGAGCTGTCATATCTTCAAAGAAGTTACAAAGTATTGCTCAGTTCTGAAACAAACTCACCCTTTCTCCTTTTGGTCCTGCTGGTCCCGAAACCCCAATTGGTCCTGGAGTACCCTGTAGTTGCAGGGAGGAAAACACACCAGGTCATTCTTACTGTGGGGCTTTGTTAAAGCCAGGAGACACTGCTGCTCCTTCAGGAAAAAGCACAGCTGAGAAGGACAGTCCAGTGTTTAAAGGCATCTAGTACCACTACAGCTTTCAGTGATGGTGGTGATGGGTTTGAAGAAGTTCTTGCATGCCATCCGAAGACTATGCATAGGAACTGCACCAGCACCATCTCACAGTGTCCTTTCCTAATTTTGAAGCTATGCCTTGGTGGTTGTTACAGTAAGCATTTCTATTACTGCCACGATGGATTTTTTCTCTCCTGTTTGTCACAGACAAGGCTGAAAGCTGTAGCAGAACAAAGGCTATTTAGAAATATATTAAGTGAGTTTCTTTTCTTTCTATCATTTCCTTCCCCCCAGTGTCAGCTGAGATGGCAAAAATAAAAGAGTTTGCAGCCAGTCATGCAAGTTGAAAGACACCTGTGAAACTTGTTTTGGAGCACTGCCTGTTGAAGGGTCTGCTTCAACTCTTCCAGACTGCATTCTGCAGTCTAGATAAAGCACAACCTTCAGATCTGTCCCACACTGTTGCACAGTGAGGCATTCACCTTCCTAACTCTACCGTGTGTACTTTTGTCACACAGTGGCAACAGCTGCTGTTGTGAAAAGGCTGCAAGCAAGGTGACTGTGGAGAATGACAGGATAGAGATGGAGACCCCTCACAACAAAGCAGACAGGAGAACCGAGTGTCACTGAACCATGCAGAATTTGTCTTGTTATTGAGATGAAGTGGAACAAGTAGGCTATGATGCTGGGATCCAGACAGACTCACGGTATCAAAAGACAAGTTTATCACTTCTCATCCTTAAGTTTAACACTCCCCCCCTCCCCCCATTCCAAACCTGCTTTGGAGAAAATAATGTTATTTTTGGTGTAAACAAGACTGGTGAAAAAGACGAGACAAGTCACAGTACTGGGGAGAGGAACATAGGGCAATGGAGAAATGGAACTCACCGGTGGTCCAGGCCTGCCGTCTAAACCTGAAGCACCCTGAACAGATGGGGAAAGGTGAACAAAAACAAGGCAAGAGGAAAGGGGAAGAGGGTGAGGGGGGAGAGGAGAGGGGAGGGGAGAGGTGAGTGAAGCAGTGACTCCAGACAAACATACACTTGCAATCAACAAAAGCTAAGATCTCAAGGACAGATGATGGTGCTTACAAGCAAACCAACAAAAACACAGAAACATTGAATACGTATAATATTGGCCTGTAATATTTGGATCCCCCTCAGAATGCAAATTTCCCCTCTTTCCGTGCCATCAAGAAAACCTCTGAGGAAAAGGCTGCTCTGTTGCAGACAAGGACAATGTGACAGCTGAAACCTGCACTGCCTTTGTGGCAGAACTGGGTTGCCCTTAATTTTCTCAGCATGAAACCTAGCAGTTGTTCTGTTCAGGGCTTAGTTAGCCAGCTGCTATCACTGGTCCAACAGAACATTTCAACAAGAACATTTTTGAGACAGTCCTCCCCACTCCACAGCTCAGGAACCCTTGTGAGCCAGGGGGCTTTGATGCTGTTGGACTACAGAGGTCAAAAGACCAAGAACAGGAATGCAGGCATGGGGCCCTGATGGCTGATGGGGTTCAATGCATGGTAACTCTTGGGGTGTCTTGTGCTCAGATGGTCGCAAGAACGTCCTTTCCCTGTCCTAGTACTGCATAGACTTTAAAGAATAACTGAAAAACTAAAGCACAGAAAGCTCCCATCTGCATTTCTCAGAGCAGAAAGGGAACTGAGGTTTTACTTCTCCTGGCTTCACTGCCCTTCAGATTAGAGCCTTCTGAAAGCATCAGTTTCTCCCCATGCCATGTGTGCAGCCCATGGCAAAAACACACCTTATGAGCTCAGTTAGGTGCCTACAGTCAGATGAAGTGCACCAGAGGCAGGAAGGTGACTGCTATAAATACAGGAAAACATTTTACAAACAAAGATGTGCACATTTCAGCCAAAGTCAGCTTTGGGTGATCAAACAAAATCTGACAACAAAATCATAAAGCACGAGATGCACTCTTTGCAGTGCTCGTTTCCAGTCAGTACCATTTAGTGAAGAGAGAGGGTGTGCTTTACCATCAGTGCATTCACATGAGCACATTCACCATCCGAGCAACTGAGTAGAACTAAGTTACTGCTAACTCATCAGCAGCAGATGAGTCTCAGACACCTGCTGTAGAGGCTTTCAGTAGATATGATCTGTGAGCTTTTCTTTGCAAAATTCTCAGGTTTGTATCTGAAGCTTGTGCAATGTTACCACTCTGCCAAAATCCTTCCTTGTAAGCTAAGCAACGCGTTAGCACTACTTTCATCCTGAATTAATCTACAGCAAGGAATACAGGAAGCCTCTCCTGCATCAGGGAAAGCATCATTTCCATTGCAGAAGTGATAGGAAAGCATTGGACAGCAAGGGTTGAATGCTTTCAGAAATGCCACACTTTTGTACAAAGCCTGCCCAGGAGACAAACTGTTGGGAAAGTGTCTCCTTTTCACTTCTGCACGTCTTTGTGCTTCAGGGAGATGATGCAAGGCCAGTTACAGAGGTTGCAAGTGACCTGTGGGAAAGCTACTGCTTTTCCCAGAGCTGCCAGAAGCAGGAAGAACTAAAAAGATTGCTGAAAGGATCACAGGTTGCGTACAGAAATGGAGGCTTTGCGAGTTTAAGAAGCAATGGCACTGTTATTTATAGATCATCTCTTTCTCTGACTTTACGTATCAAATCCCTGCATGCATCTCCTACCAAGAGATCTTTTTACGGCTGATACCAGTTTGGCTTGTAAAGCACTGCCTGCTTCCTGGATACTTACGGGTAATCCCAGTGGCCCTCTGTCTCCTTTTTCACCCTGGACACCCTTCTCTCCTTTCATTCCATCAATCCCTGCTTCCCCCTAAAGGAAGGATGGAGAAAATAAATCCACCATGACAGCACTTATATAATAAACAATCCTTCATTCCAAGAGCAACAAAGAAGCAGAGAATGCGAGAGGCAGCAAAAAAAGAGCTGTGCTTTAGCCCAATTCTTGGTTCAATCAGAAGAAAACCAGCATCAGTCAAAGTGACTTGTTCTAATCAATGCCAGTAAGAAGACAGTCAGGTCCAGAGGATAATTAAAGATGGTCAAAGGGGAACAGATCTTCCTGCTGTATTGTTCTCCCTGCTCTTGCAGGGAGCATCAGGTAAATGCAAGTATCTGGCAATGATCTGATAGGGTGGCTTTGAATTTTAAACTGACAGTTCATTGGAAGGGAATGACCAGTGTCTATAAGCTTTGAAAAAAGTAAAAATCTTTTGGAAAACAGACTTTCCCTTTCCTTTGCACCTGCCAGCCAGTAGATTGGGCATAAGCACAGGTAGATGGAGATGAGAAAGCTTTAAATCCCTGAGAACAGTGAAGTTCTTAATGGCATTACAGCAGGATGTACAGCACATCGAACCTGGCTAATTTTAAAATAGAGCTCAGTTACTTTGGATTGTATGGCAGGTTGTCCATCCCGCTGTACAGACCTTTACCCTTCAGACAAAGATTTCAGCTATGTTCTCATGGGAAAATTTCCAAGGACCAGAGGCTTCCCACTTCTCTGGCTGAGAACAGGAGAAAATGACCACTTTTCTGGATGGATGCTACTAATCCAATCCCTTCAGGATAATATACAGTTTTGTTCTCTTACCCAATATGGAAGAACGGCAACTTTGAAAGCCGGGAAGCTGCTGCTGTGAGGAATTCTGGCACTTTGGATAACTCTAGCAAAATTTCAGGATTGAAAATTTGACAGCCTTACCTTTGGTCCTGGAAGGCCCTGAAGACCCTGTGTTTGGAATGAGAAACGAGATATGAGCAACATTTAAGGGCGTGCCTTAAAGCCCAGGCACGCCAGTTCACTGGGCAGCATAAAGCTTTCATTTCCTGATACACTGAGGGCACAAATGCTTAGCCCAAAGGCCTCTTTATTTGTGTAAAGGGCACTTCACGTACTGTTCTCATCTGGCAGTGAGGAGGCTCTCGCCAAGAACAACCTGGCAGCAGGCCAGGCTTGCTATTAAGACCATTTTTGCACTTGATCCTTTTAATCCTGTCCATCCCATCTCACTACTGTCTTCCCTTTCATCTCAGGCTAATCTAACCTCTCACCTTTTAACTTCCCAGCTCATCGTAGCTCTGACCTACCCTGGAGGTAGTTCTGGAAGTGACACTAAGTGCATTGCTGCTTCAATGCTGCAGTGTTTCTGGCAGTTTTCTACACCCCCAAATCCTCCCCAGCCACTTTCATCTCATTCATACTCCCAGTGCCTCTCTCCTCAGGTGAATCACAACACTTACTGGAGGTCCTGGTGGGCCTTGAGGTCCGGGGGGGCCAGACATCTAGAAAACAATGCGAGAGAAGTCAGTGTCAAGCTGCTGGCTTCAGCATGTGAAGGGGAACTGCTCAGGGGGGAGGCAGGGCACATGGAGCAGCTGAGCTCCACCAGGCTTGGAAACCTGGACTGCCCCAGAGGGCTGCGTTCAGAAGCGACAGCAATCCAGGACAGAGTAGCCAAGAAGCAGCAGCAGGATGCTGGAAGGGGTTATTGCAGTAGTTGCAGAGATTTAGAGGAAAGGAAAGCAGTGATATTTTTACAGAAAAAAATACACTTCCACTAGTCTTGCACTGTTACTTCAGCTAGCTGTTTCAAAGTATAAGAAAAGGGAGCTAGCTCTACAAACATGAATACTGATAGCCTGAGGGACTCCTCACTGCAGGGCATGATGGAAGTTCAGTGAGCTTTGAGGAGAAAAGGGGCAAATTCATTAAGCCAACATATATTGAAAATATCTAGGTCCAGGCAGGTATTTTTTTCAGAAAAATCCTTCACCACAAATGTTGAGGAAAGTAACTGTGTGCTTCCAATTATCTTGTGCTCTTCCTTAGGCATTCATTATTGATTGCTTGTGAGTTAGACTGTTCTTGTGTAGAAGAAAAGTAGGGCATCAGGAGCTAAAGGTGGCCAGCAATTCTGGCAGTTCAGTCCCACGAGGTAAAGCTTGTGGGATGCATCATAAGAGGATGTCTGCTGCCAAAGCCATCCCTCCCCTGCTGCAGAAAGGAAATGAGATAGGTGACCTACCGATTCTCCTGGATTTCCTTTGTCTCCACGCTCCCCAGGCTGACCCTTCTCTCCCTGCACACAACAACACAGCCTGTCACTGCCAGCTGCCTTCTGGAGTCTCACTCCTTCAGAAGCCACGTGTCAACCACCCAGATGCTGAGAAGCAACAGTGCCCAAAAAGGAGGAGTGAGACTATACTATACTTTTGAATGCCAAAAGTGTGGCATTTCTGAAAGCATCTCAAAGCTTCACTAACAGCTCACTGATGTCTCTTCAGCACGTCTGCTTCCAGAGATGACAACTTTACAAAACAGGAGGTCTCTGGGAGCGGTGTCCTGGGGCTGTGTAAGGGGAGCGTGGGACTCTGTCCACCTTTCCCCAATAACAGCCTGACATCTCTGCTGCACTACAGCCTCCCAGGGAGGGAGCACAGCAAGCCACTCAGAAGAAGCCTCATGCTGACAGCAAACTAGGTATGGGCCACCTTAGCTGTACAGGCTTTACAGGCAGCTTCCAGAGCCCAGCACCGCCAGAGAGCAGCAGGAACTAATGCTCAACTGGCTGCCTGTCTGCTGCTGGAGATCTGACAGATGTCTGCTGATGCCGAAGCACCTAACTCCAAGGGATAGGATGGTCTAAGGATCCTGAGATATACTGCACTTTGGAAAACACGTGTTGCTCTGCACTGTTTTTAATTCACTGAGCAGGAAAGGTCAGCCTGTCTTTTTCACTCTTACTGTCAATCCTGGAAGTCCAATGGGACCCGGCAATCCTGGTGGTCCTGGCATCCCTTGGTCGCCTCGTTCTCCTTTCTCTCCAGTGGGGCCATCAAGACCCTATGAATCAAGAAAGATTTGCAGCTTTTTGCAAGACTTTTTTGCAGGTATTACAGATACCATTGCCAGAAATGAGTTGTGCCCTGTGAGCTCCAAGAATACAATGGAAAACCCAGAGAGCTTTCAGGTACACAGGAGAAGGCAGGGCTTTGCTGATATTGAAACCAGACAGTAATATGCCTGAAACATCCTCCTGTCATTGTGGATGTGCCATTCCCCAGAGTCGCAATGAAGGACTGCTTTCCTGCCTCCAAGTTCTGCTTGTGGTTATGCAGTTTGCTGCAGTACATGCTAGAAATCACTCCAATAGCTAGCTGTTGTTACTGCAAGAGCTTTATCCTAGTAATCCTGCACAGAGGCAAAAACTCACTGCATAAACCCTCTTGACTGCTGTTAGGGTGCAGAAGTTGTGACAGGCTCAAGCTAGGAAATTGGGCACTCTGTCCCAGTTGCTTAGGGGCTTCGAGTTATCCCACAGCTCTACCCAAAACCTGAAGAGCCACAAGAGCAGAACGCTGCTGAGGGGCTCCAATGTACTCACCGGTGAGCCTGCTTGTCCTGGCTCTCCTTTATGCCCCTTTTCTCCTGCAACCCCAATCTGGCCTGGCTCTCCCTTTATTCCAGGTGGTCCATCCTTTCCTGGCAGTCCATGAGGTCCAGGGGGGCCCATTTCTCCTGGCTTGCCTCGTGGTCCCTAAAAGAAATTCACTCAGTAAGTGAGACTGACAGGTAAGAGAAATGTTAGCCCTGCGGAGTGACTCCCTAGCTCAGAGCCTCTGCTGCTCATTCTCTAATAGTAACACAACTGGAAGAATTACAAACAGGAAGAAAAAAAAAAAGGGAAAAAAGAAGCAGGTTTTCCCTGCCATTCCAACTGTTCCATAGAAGTTAATACTCTGATAAGCCACTAATGCTTATTTCTATGGAGCCAAACCACTTCCCTCTCCCACCTCCAAGTGGAAAACCAACTGTGCATAAGTATCAGTGCAAATTATCTCCAATTAAGGCTACTGAAGGATGAAACAATCCACAGAGGAAGCTTGTCTTACCTTTTCTCCATCATGGCCTGGAGGACCTGGTAAGCCAATTTCACCCTGAAACACAAAATTGTTTGGCCATTTGAAAGCAGCCTTGTTTACCCAGAATGACAGTTCATGGCCCCAGCGCTATAGCAGTCTCCAAACAACACCAATTCCCACAAGATGTTTTGTGAAGGGGATGGTGAGTAGGAAGGATCCCTCATCTCTGAGATAATGCCTTATCACTGTGGGAAAAGGGATTCAGGATACCATGGCTGAGGAGGAGTGGAGCCTGGCAGGACAGGGTCTGACAGTGCTGCTAGGAAGAAGAGGAGCACTGGGGAGAGACGTGTGTGAATTCTTCCCCTAGCTCTGCAGTACCTTCTGTCCTGGTGGCCCTGGAGGTCCAGCCACACCTGGAAGTCCTGGCGGTCCCTAGAAAAAGTAAAACTCATTTTCAGAATATCATCAGGGCTTTCATTTTTGTCTTTTGTAACCAAAGATCTCTTCTGCGTTTAAGGGGAATTTTCCTGGAGACTCCTAAAATACAGAGACCTACTAAGCTACAGCCAAAATCCAAAAAGAGTTATAGATACTTATGCATTCCTCTACTTTCTTATGGAAGAAAACAAAAATGACTACAGCTATTCACTCTTAGAACTGAGACAAACTTAACAAGGATTTTCCCTTCCCATCTACAAATACATATTTTTAGATTAATAGAGAGCATAAGAAACATTACACTTCTTAGATCCCATGTGCAGCTTATGCAGAGCCAAGAGTGATGATAAATCTTGGCAGTTGCTGCTTTAAGGAGACCTAGGCAGCAGCTCAGCCTAGATGCTTATACCCATTTTCCTTTGCCCAGCCTTTTCTCCCCCAGTCAAGTGTCCTGTTGTCCTAAGAAACAAAATACACAGATGCTTTCATCCTCTTCTTCGGCTCCAAGTAATTACTTTGCCTTTCCTTTCAAAGGGGTTGTTGTTGTCACTGCTGTTTTAAATGATTTTTGTATGGGATGTGTATCAAGTTATACTTATCAATGGTGACAATATGTATTCCCCTCTCATTACAAAGTGTCTGCCAATGGCTGCCAATGAGTCTTTGTCTTGGTCAGCCCCCTTACTCTTCCCTGCCCCTTCTGAGCAGGGAACATTACCTTGTAGAGAAATAAAGGGCCTGATTATGATTCAAGTGCCAAGATCAGATGGCAAAATGAGCTCTTCCTTCAGCTGTCAACACTGCCCCAACAGCTAAACAGACCTTAGCTGTGCAAAAATGGTGCAGGTATCTGCTTAGGATGAACACATGGCTAATCACTTAGGGCCACACAGCGAAGCTAGGAACTCACCATCAAGGCCAAGGTTCGTATTTCCTAGAAGAAAAAGAAAGTGAAGAAATAGAAAAAAGGTAACAGTCATTTAAAAACAAAGCTTCTTCACAGACCTTGTTTCATAGGACCCTATGAAATGAAGCCAAAAAAACAGCTCTGAGTCACATGGAGCGATGCAGCAATTTCTCCCCACCATCATCACATTTTTTTCTCCCAAAGAGAACCCAGACTAACCCAAAGCTGGGCACAACTGCTCAAAGCACACATCTCTGAGGAGCCTTTACAGTGCTTTTATTCACCAGTCTATCCTAAGGCTTCAATCTCTGTCCCACTCTTCAGGGGATGCCCATGGCCTTACTGTCTGGCAGACTTAATTTCTCACTTAAATAAGATACACAGATATTTATCAGAACAGTATGCAGGGAACTGTGGGACTAACGGTGCTGCAGAACAACCAAATATTTTTCTTTGTTGTTAGTGCTGAGGAAGATTTACACTGCGCTGGGTTTTCTGCATCCCCTGGGAAACCAAACAGTCACCTCACGGATAGCTGGACAGTGCTCACCTGGAGAGCTTCACTGATGTTACCATCGTAGTCCATCATTTCATCCTTTCCAGGCTCTCCTTTGGGACCCTGCAAAATATCCGACCTTCACTCAGAGCTTTGGGATCACCTTCCCCATGGTGTAGCATAGGATCTATGGGGGTCACCCTAAAAAAATCCCTCAGAGAGGGATCTGTTTCACAAGGTTCTAGTTTTTCATTTCTTGAACCAAGCTCTTAAAAGCGTATTTTATAGAGGGAACACTGTAGAGCTGTAGCCAGATGACCTGCAGGTTACCGTGCCATAACTGTCAGAATTTACAAGTCTGGTACATGGTGAAGCTGAGGCCAGAATCCAGGAACTGTGTCCACTGTCAGATTTGCACTGCCATTTGCTGATATGCCAAGGGCCTGAATTCAGACTGGGTGCCCAGACTGACTCCTCTACAAATGAGCAGAGCATTCACCCTGATGAGCTTAAGAAGTCTTCTCCCCTGAAGGAGAAATATCTGCTGATGAAGGTATTACGGAGAAAGAGCCCACAAACTTAATCACTGCCCATCTTGTAAGCCCTTTAAGCAATGGTGAAAACATCAAGAAAACAAAAGCCCAAGCTAGACCATCAGTGTGGTCCCACTATCCTTAGACCTCTTTGAAGGGCCAAAACTATACAAAAGTATTAGTGAAGGGACACCTACCCTAGGCCCCATGGGTCCCTGCTCTCCTGGTGTACCACGTTCTCCCTGTAACAAGAAGATGCTGTTAGCAATGTTCATCACTACAGTTGCTTGAACTCCAGCAACCATTGGACTCTACAAGTCCTCTAAAACGATTTCCAACTAAGTTGGAATAGAAAACCTCGCACATAACCTGCAATACTTCAGCAACACCACAAAGTAGCTTTTTTCTGAGAAAGTATTCTTCCAAAATACCTGGAGGTATACCTGTTCCCCAGACCAGTCTGATGTACTCTCTGGCATACCAGAGATTCAGTGTGCTTCACCAGCAGCTCCTGCTGGAAGAGCTGGAGCTGGTTCTGAGGGATCAGGTCAGCCTGTTCCATTAACATAGGTTCAACCAATTCAAGTGGTGGCTAAACCTGCGCTTAATCTTCTGCTTTTCACCTTCACCCTAGACAGCTCAGTTTTAAAATGCTTCATTTCTGTTAAGTTTTCAACATATAGGAATATTTTTTGCATTACCAAACCCAGAGCTGGACTGCCCACAAGCCCTCTGTACCTTTTCACCCCGTGATCCTGCAGCACCAACGTCACCAGCTTCTCCCTGAGAAAAAAATAAATGGGTTGGACTGAATTGCATGGGCAGGGTGCAACTCTACTGCTGGCTTTGCTTTCCCAGTAGGAAGAACTGCACTCCGGTGTGTCACACCTCCTCAGTTAACCCCAATCTCCACCCATGACTTCACACCCCAATACCTTTCTCCACCACCCCCCGCCATGAGAACAAACTCACTCAAGGGTAAACTGCTCACCTTTGGTCCAGGGGGCCCAGGCAGACCAGGAGGGCCAGGTTCCCCTTTGCTTCCCACCAAGGCATTCTCACCATTTCCCTTCTCTCCCTGCATGCAAGGAAAAACAAATCCATTCCATTTCTCTAATTTCACTTGCCAAGCTGCTGATTCAGAGAGACAGGGCCCAGAACAAACTTAGCCCCTGTCCTTCCATCAGCTGGGCTTTGGATAGCCCAGGAACATCCCTGCCTCAACGAGGGGCCAGGGGCTGGGCCAGTACAGCTCTGCTTGGGGGCTCTAGCAGTAAGAGGAAAGCAGTGTTCACGTGGCATTGTCATTAAACTCCCATCCTTTCCTGACATGGTCACTGTCATTAAGTGCGTTGTCCCCTTTTCCAAAGGGCAAGTTCCTGGTGAAAGTCTGACTGAAGGTGTGATTGCTATCTTACTTCTCAGCCCCTACAAATCAAAAATGTTTACCATAGGGAAAGGGCTGCACACAGCTGGCACAGGGAAGAAGGAAAGGAGACAAAGAGTGGTCTCCAACTCATGGAAAATACAAACCTTCGGGCCAGGGAGCCCAGGATCACCAGCTCGGCCCTTCTCACCCTGTGGAAGAAACAGACACAGTCGGGAGCTGATTTGGCAGGTCGTCCTGGACAAGCAGCCAAAGGATAAGTTCATAAAATCATTAATCATTAAGGTTGGAAAAGACCTCTAAGATCATCCAGTCCAGCTGTCCACCTATCACCAATACTGCCCACTAAACAATGCCTCTAAGTACTACCTCTGCCCTTTCCTTAAATGCCTCCAGGGATGGCAACCTCTCCACTTCCCTGGGCAACCTTATCCTCAGTAGTGAAGTTCCCCACCACATCTAGTAAAGGATGGAGATTCTCCTTGGCCCTCCTCTTACTGTTAGTATATTTGTAAACATATTTTTTGTTGTCCCTGACAACACAAGCTGTTCCTGCTTTCAAATCTTTGTTCTTTCCTTTCAGGGACATTATTTTAGGCAAACCAAGGCATCTGCCAGCAGTACCTGCTCAAGCAGGAGACTGCTTTCTCCAGTGTTTCTGCATATCCCCACATATCACTGCCATATCTTTCCAAATGAAAATGAATCCCCATTTTCTTTTTCTTATTGCTCATCTGTTAAGCCCTTTCTCCTGTCAGCCCTTCAGCATGGGTTTTCCCCATTCCACACACCTAGAGAAGCTGCTGCCCAGAATGAAGGACTTTTTCCATGCCCCAACAGAGTTCAGCTCTTCCTACACAAACTGTCCACTTCCCAACACTCACTGCTCAGACCTCCCAGTTTCAGTGGCCAATACTGCTTTGGCAAGAATCTGCTACACCTATCCCAATGGAACGAATCCTGCTCCTGGCTCCAAACCCCAATTTCATCATGCTCTTTAAATGAAAGCAGTGCAGCATCTCAGCTATCAGCCAAGCTCTGTGACACGCAGGGGTGGTGAAAAGCAATGAAAAGAGTGGCAAAAAAGGCAAGAAGAGGTGATGGTTTGAGACCCATTGATGCAATGCCTGGTGAGCATGGTCTGCAGGTGAGCTGTGCAAGGCACTGCAGGCAATGAGCAAAGAGGGTGTCCAGCACTAGCACTCACTCAGTGAAGTGACTTTGCTTAGTTCACCATGGCGTTCAGATCACCCTTTGAATTACTCCTGAAATTAAGTTTTGTTCTGCCCATTCCATCCAACTCCTAAACCCATGGTTCTCAGCTACAGGTTGCTGCATGGGACTCAGTATTTCGTAAGGACAGTCTAACAGAGCTTTCTTCATTGCCAGGAAGAGAGGTTTTAAATGATTAATCAGAAAAAGGTTTTCTTACCTGCAGTCCTCACAAGGTCTCCAAAATTGACTCGTGCAGATTACAAAGAACAATTCAAAACCTCTCTTCTCTGCTGCTCTCCACAAAAGCAGCACAGCAGACCAACAGGACCAGCACAGAGGTTCTCTTGGTGCCATGCTGCTGCCTGCACAGACAGGTGCTGCACACCAGTCTCATCAGAGCTCAGGAGCACACATCTGACATGTGGAGGGCTTGCATCAGTGCTCCAAGAACAGACATGCACTTTCCATAGAAAATAATTAAAAAGCACTAATCTTTTTTTGTTTGTTTGTTTGTTTGTTCTAGGCAACTCTGGAGTGCAGTGGCCCATTCCTTTAAGGTGATTTGGTCTGAAAGGCCCCCACCCAACTCTCTCCCCACAGCCACATTCTGCCTTTCTCTGCTTTTGGTACCATACTTCTCATTCGAGGATCACGCCAGTAGGGGCTACACAGAACTTCCTTCAATTATTCCCAGGAAAAGACTGTGTCCCAGGTACTTCATGCTACCCTGCTTGCTGCCAGCCCCCCACCTCCTACAAGCAAGAACACACAAACACACTTCAACAGGGCAAGAGCCAGAAAAGGACACATGATCCCTGCAAGCACAACGATGCAACGCAAAGCAGGCTGCTGCCAGCTCCCACTCCTGGGGAACACAGCACACCAAGCCCAAACACACAATATCCTACCCGCTGCCCCCTTTTCCCTGGCAAACCTGGGGGGCCCATCCTCCCTGGGACTCCAGGCTCTCCCTTCATGGGGAAGAAAAGAGACAGAGAGCGTCTGTTACATGGCTGCCGCATGCTGTAACACAACCCAGTGAGCCTCAAACAAGAGAGGCCAGCTGTTCAGAAACCAAACTGGCTGCTTAGTGATGGAGAGTGACAGGGTATTTTTGTACTGTGCCCACCACAGGATCTCACACCAGGTCATGCTATGCTGAAACTGTGCATGACCAGAAGCAGGACAGGGCAGCCCTCAGCATGTGACAGAAGAACAACGTCCCACAGTCCCTGATGAACTGTGGCAGTACCTCTGGTGGGCACAGACGTGCTGGGAGGCAGAGCAAGCAAGCTGGCTGAGCAAAGTGTGCTGTGGGCATTTTGTGGGGTAGGGAGAAGGGGAAGAAGGCAGCTGGAAGGAAACCCCACCAACAGACTCCAGCTGGAGGGAGTGGATTTGTTTGCAGGATGGGCTCTCACTGTACACTCTTGCCATTTTCTATTGCCATTGCTTATGCTGGCAGGTGTCACTAAGACCTGGATTTGTGCCTTGGGGAACACAGAGCTGTTCCTCAGCTTCTCTGGGGGAAGTGGGGGGAAAAAAAAAATCACAAAAAAAAAGATCACAAACAAAACAGAAGAACAGCCTCAGAGCAATGCTTTCCAAGTACCTTTTCTCCTGGAGTCCCAGGCTCACCCTAGTAAGGAAGAGACAAGAAAATAAAGTGAGAAAATAGAAAGCGAGCACCTTAGAGCTAACAGGGTGGAGAAAGGAGCATTCATCTGTGGAGGTCTTGCGGTGTGAGGATGCTTTAAAAGCCTATTAGTACTTCTGCCTAAAGCTTGTTTCATCTTCATTAGCCAGCTCCTGGACTGCTGAAAATAAACAGCAAGATGGAGTAACCACCTTGCTGTGCTTCAAGAAAAGACTTACCCATAGTAAGTCAAGAGTCATCTGCTGGCACTCACCTGCTGCCACTAAGGAATTTACTTACTCCTATCTCTGCACAGGAGCACAGCAAAGCTGAGGATATGGCAAGGATGGGGGGACATGTCAATATGGGAACAGTGTGGCATCAGGGAGAAAAGCTGTCCCCACCAGTTCTGGGATAACCTCTTTATCTCTGCCTTTAGCTCAGCAGCTGGAGTCAGTCAGGACAGCACACCTCAGCCCCACCAAGATGACTTACATTGGCACCTAGCTCACTTTTTGCTCAGCTTCCATCCTGATACTGCTGTGGAGTGCCACCTGTCTCTGCTCAGAGCGCTGTGGAGCAGCAGATGAAGCTGAGGACAGATCAAGCTTCTCTGCCAGAAGCTACAGCAGTTCTGCCATTCCCCTTCAGTGGGAGCTGTTTGACCATTTTCCTTCGCTCTCATAGCTCACTGGCTCTTAAACGCACCCTTCTTGAAACACTGAAGCGTAGAGCAGAACTGACCTTCATCCCTGCCGTGGCAATTCCAGGAGCACCCTGACAGAAAGAGAAGACAGGAACACTTTGTTTGAAACTGAATTAATTATTTTGTGTGCGTATATATATATATATATTTTTTTTTTATTTTATTTTTTTTTTAAGAAACAAAACACTATCAGCCAGGTGGAACTATGAAGGGAAAATCCACAACTTTTCCTTTCCAAAACTCAGAAGTAATGCTGTAACACCACACGGCACACATCCTCCTTCCCTGTATGGGTCGTTCACCTATAACAGTGGCTCTGCTTTCCAAAAAGCTCACCCAAAGACAGATAACATGGGCACAACCCAGTTAGGAAAACCAGATTTCCACCCCGAGCGTCAGCCCTGCTGGCGAAGCCAAGGCCAACAAGCAGCATCAAATCAAGTAAGCAAGGAAAGCAAAGTCAGACTGAGGACCAAACACTCCGTTCAGTTTGATCCCAGATACATCATCTCAAGCACTCCAAGGAACACCAGATTTTAACACCAGAGCCTTGGTCTCATTTGCCCATATTCTGTTCTCATCTCAGGGGACTAACACTGCAGTAAGGCGGCTTCAGGAGAGCTGTGAAGCCAGCCACCCTAGGGGATAAAAAGACTCCCAAGCATGAGCACCTTCTCCTCAGCAGCAGGAAAAAAATGCAAGTCTGGCATCAACCCTTTGCTCTGGAATCTCTGTGTTAGTATGAGTTAGGGCCTGGTGAAAATGTCCAGTTACAAAAGCAAATATGAGGGATAACAGGGTCTAAGGAGGGGAAGTAGGAGGGGGAGGAGGTGAAGTAGTGTTAGAAGGTGGGATGTAATAGGGGTTGGGATGTAGCACATGAGGCAGAGAGGAGGAGTGGGAGCCAAGTTCAAGGTGAAGAGAGCTTGGAAAAGTTCAAACAAGGAGGAGTGGGGAGCCAGAGAGCAGCGGGATCATACCTCTCAGCTTTCTGAAACAAATCAGGGACAAAGCTAAAAAACACAAGGATAGAAGATGGAGATCAGGGATTCTATGCAATAAAAGGGGAAAAAAGCATTCCAGAATTTCTCAGGGGTCAGTAGGTTTTAGTGAATATGGGCTAGAGTCATGAAAGGGATTATGTGCAGAAAGTGGCTTGGTTAGGCTTTCATGGTACGTTTGGGATGCCTTTTCCTCACTTTGGCCTTTAAATGGCAGTGGATGCAGACATTATTTTCTAGTACTTACTCTAAAGCTGCCATGCACACATGCAGGCTTGCTCACACACACTGGCCCTGATGCATTGCTGCATCAACCCAGGTTCACACTTGCATAACCCTGCTGACTGCAGCAGGCTAACACATTGGGACCACCATTTTATGAAATGCCAATTTCCTAGAACGTTGGTAACTGGGTCCTCTCACTAGCATTGAGCATTAAGTTCCTGACGTTGCAAGACAGCATCAGACTGGGTATGCCATTTTCTTTTTAAAACACTTCTCTCCCCATGGTCACCGTCATGAATTAGGCCTATACTTTGCAATTTAGAAGCAGAAAGAACTCAGCTGAGGACAGTCATCGACCAGTAGACACACACACCAATCCAGGTGATGCTTGTGCATCAGGGACAGCTGAGTGGTAAGGCTGAGATCAGGCAGACAAGCATCACTCCACTGTTCACAAAGTACCTTCATGCCATGTCTTCCTGGCAGCCCTGGCATGCCTCTCTCTCCCTGGAAGCAGAGCAAGAAACAGAAAAAGAGCAACAGATACAGCATGAGTCCTCCCAGGGCCCTGTGAGGAGGGCCAAGTACACCTTCTGCCTATAAACTTCAGGGGCACCGTGGCCTTTTGACTCTTCTGAGTGTTCAGTCCTTTCTTGTAAGTTTGAGTACCTCTCACCCTATGCAGTATATTGTAAGAAAAGTATAAGAAAAATAAACCAGTAATTATGAATGCTTTGTACTAGAGAAGTGAAGATCACCCTGTGCCCCTCTTTCCCAGCTGTGTGCTGTTTTTCTTCTTAAATGAGACAAGACCAATGCTGTCTGCTGGGCAGCACCCACACTGCAGGATCTAGCCCCATAGAGCAGCCCCTGGGGGAAGTAATCCCCCATCCCAGAGAGTTTCCTGAAAGATGCTACCTGCTTGAAGAGCTCTTTAATTATTTAGCCCTGCAAAAGCAAAGCCAACCCAGTGAGAGCAAGATAACCTCTTATAGGGAGCAAGTTACAGAGCAACCACACTGCCTTGACATTTCCTAACTATGGCCCCCACACATTCACACAGCCCTCATTAACACCTGCAGGATCACACAGGCGCTAGAGCTAATTAGAGAGCAGAAACAAGCATGGCACTGCATCATTAAAGAGCAGTAAGAAAACTCAGGGCCAAAGCCAGAGGACAAGCAGGAAAAGCAACTCTCCAGAACATCTCTAAGCCCCTAATTATTTGGAAATCTTTGTACAGTAAGGCCTCAGCATGCTGAGCCCTCTCTGGTCCTGCTGTGTCCTTTGGGCCAGGGAAGGGCTGCACAGGGTGCCACAGCCAGCAGCAGAACAAGGCAGGCAAGCCAGAAACTGAGAAGTATCACCGAGGGCAGAAGCCAGAAGCAAAACACCCAGCTCACATCCCCAGATTATTGTTGCTCTTTTCTCAGAGCATGGGAAAATGCCTCATCCTAAGGACCATCACGAAAAAGAGAAAAATATACACCAGCTAGGCCAAAATTGATGGTTAACCTGGGGACAGCAAATCAGATGCTTATTCAAATGACCCAGCTGATCATACTTACACCTCGTGTAATGTCCTTCATGCAACATTACTGTCTACCTCAAGGTTAGGAACAAGAGGTTTGAATGCAACCTGAAAGCTTCTTCAACAGGGCAGGGCCTGTAATGTTCTCTGCTACCAGAAAAAGCAGTGATGAGCTACGCAAAATAGATCCCTAGAGATAAACTATGAATCACCTATAGTATTTGAACTGGCTCCCCAAACAAAAAGAAAAAAGACTCTGGTCCATGTAATTGAATCCAAAGGTGGAAACATTAAAAGCTTCCCAGGGTCCCAAATGACCTTCCTGGAAGGGAGGCAGACAGGAAAGAAGAAATTTCCAAAGGCAACAAATTCGTGCACCATGTGGATGTTCAGGAGCTGCTACTGGCTGATGTCTGGCTGCTGATTTAGGGGTATCTCTGCACTTGTATTTCAATCCCTCAGAGCAAAGAAGAAGGGAAAGAGAGAAAAGTGATATTGACAGTAACAAATGAAAGTCTGAGTGTGGAAGAATAGGCTGGTTTGGAACTGGGAGGTGACCCTATGGAGCTCCTATTTATTAGCACAGAAAGCACAGCAGGTTTTGTCTCCACTCTTATGAAACAAGATGAGTAAGAGCCAAAGTAGCTAGAGCATGTCCCCAGGGTCTCACTGAATCATTGCTCTCTAACAGGACAGAGAAGCCTCTCAAGTGTGCGTGACCCTGAGATATCACTGAAGCCTTGGAGACTTTCCTTTTGCCAGAGCCCAAATACAAAGAGCATGCAGAATTGCTGCAGAGTGTAGAAACAGCGGGAGGAAAGGATTGCCTCTCCCTGTGCTTGGACCAGGCTGCCTTGCTGTAACAGGTGCCAATTCCTTTCCCCATCTCTGCTCCTGTTCCCTTCCCAGAGCCACTGAGAAAATAGGACGAGGAGTCCACGAGGAGACCCTAGGATCTCCCAAAACACGCCGATGCCAAAAACTCAATTGGAGCTGATGAGAAGGTTTAGGAGGCCTTCCCAGATTCAGTATATATTGCATACGGTTTGTTTTCACCTCATCTGGGACTAGGAAATTTCTGTTAGTGTTCCAGAAGATAAATCAGAGGCTGATTAGTCCCTGTATGTGGGTGCAGGCAGAGCAGGTGCCTGCTGACTGTGAAACGTGGGAGCATTAAGTAGGGGTGGAAGGCAGTGTTTCCTTCCAGACATGTCTCCCATCTAAGCCACACTCCAACTTCAGTCCTGCAGTTCAGCTTAGCAGGAAAGCATCTGGCCGTCGAGACAGCAGAAAATTTGTAGCTCCCAAAACACAGTAGTTTTGGGTGCAATTCTTCTCTCATTTACACCAGCACAGACCAGGAGCTTTGTGCTCTATGGAATTACACTGATGTGAAGATGGATACAGGGGAACCTTTGGACTTTACATGCACTGTATTATTTCTGAAGATGAATTGCCTTCTTATTGGAAGGCAATTACTGCTGTGTTCCCAAAAGATTTTTCTATGAACTCTATGTAACACATTCACATTAAGTTCTGGAGGTGCCTTTTCTGCCTTTAAATAGTAATCCACCCAGATGGAAAAAATGTAGGAAGTGTATATGCTGCACAATAAATGAGATGCGTGACACATACGAAATACTTTAAATGTATGTGTCACTGCTAATGCTTTTCAAAATATTACAGAACCAGCTCTCTCTCATGATGTTTAAAATGTATGCCATGACGGAGTATGCTCTGACTCAATGAACGCTTATCAGTGTTGTAATGTTTTAAGCACAACCTACAAATATATGGGTACAATAAACTTTAGTCAGTTAACATCTGGGCACAGAGCATATAAACCTGTAAGAAGTGTCCAGAAACAAACAGAAGAGCCTGATGCCAAAGCCCAGCCTGAGTTGCAGAGATTGAGCAGATTTGATGCGTCAGCTAACCAGATTTTATGAAGAAACCCCAACCCATCCCATCAAATGAAGAGATGTAACAAATCATTTGCAAGCTTCATAGTCAGAGAAATGCCTTTGGTAAGAATCAAATTCCACCAAAAGGATAAAGGGTGCTTTTATTGCCTGAGCTTGGAGAGTCTGCTTGCGGTTAATCACAGCACAGATGTGTACTCCATTAAATATCCCACAGAGCTGCTCAGACCCAACTTCCTCTTACAACCCATCAGCCCAAGGAGCAGCATCTCCCAGATATCTATCACAGTAGAAAACCACATTCCTCATACCTACCTTTATGCCAGTGTCCCCTTTTTCACCCTGCCCAGCAAAGAACAGAGAGAAAATACACAGAGGGACAGTGAATGTGAGGAGAAATTGAGCAAGCAGAACAATCCTCACAGCAAGGGCTAAAGAGAAAGTTGCCAAAGAAGGGAGTATGTAATAAAGGCAAGCACAGGTCTCTAGAGAGACCACAACACCAGTCTGAACACTGGCTGTAACACATCCCTCCCTGGGAACTGCAAGGCAGTGCACCTTGCTGGAGTGGATGCTGGAGGTAGTCCATGTTAATGCTTCCTACATATTTTGGGTGTAGACTAATCAACCATCAAGCTGTTTCATGGAGCAGACCCAGCCTTAACATAAAACCATCTAAAAGCTGGGTCAGATTTATTCTTGAACAGGGGCCTGTGCAGGGCTAATCCTTGTCCTGGTTCAGGACAGCAGGGAATTGCTCTGGCCAAAAATCCTCCAGACCTTTTACGCAGGAGCAAGTCTCTGTTTACGTGGTTTGCACTCTGCTACAGAGAACCTGCACCTGGACCCTAACTCACTGTATTTCTTCAGCATCTCTAGGCTTTGTGCCACTCATCTGCCCCTGGGAGACAGCCTTGCTGGTGCCATGGTTAAGAGTTACCTTGGGGCCAGTAGCTCCAGGGAGGCCATGCGCACCAGGCAGGCCTGACATGCCCGCCTCGCCCTGAGGAAGAGAAGAAAGGAAACAGAGAAAGCAGCAATGTGATGAGCAGCAGTGATGAGCAAAAAAAGGAGCACGTGGGATGCCCAGATCAGAAAAGACATGAGAAGAATGTCCTACACAGAAGTGCCCATTACGCACCAACCTCCCCTCTGGGTCTCACCAGGGCAGGAGCACCATTCTGCATCAAGAAAGATGTTCAGTACACAAAAAGTATAACTTGAAGGAAATGGTCCCATACGCCTGCATTTTATCAGAGCTAACATTTTTGCTCAGCTCTTTGCCTTCTTGTCCCTTTCCCTGATCCACACACCCAGGGAGGATTTTCTTCCCTACTTTCATCCATTTCTTCCACATTTCCAGAGGAAGGTTGCAACCTTGGGCTCATTCTCCTGAGAACCTTTGCTCAGTGAGTAAATGAGCCAGGCAACTTGTTTTGTGTGAGAAGAGCTCTAAGGAGAGGCTCTCACCATGAGGTCACTACAGGGACCCCCTCGCTGCCCCCCACACACTGAGCTTAGAACAGGATGGACTCTGAATGGAAAAACCGATGGGCGGTTCACTGCAAGAGGAGGCAATAAATTGTGTCTGTCTGCAGGAGTGGGCTGTGGTCCACAGGGGCTATAATTTCCACTTCCTAACATAACAAAACCTTCTTGGTTTGTACAGCACTAATTAAAAAACTCTCGGATCTTGCCTTTTTGCCCACAGAGCACCCATAAAGCAGTGCAGAGATAACATGGCACTCCTGCCTGCTGGGAGCATTTGCTTTCCCCTTCTCCCAGTGACATCCCTTTAGCAGTACCTCTTCATTCCCTCTTTCCCCTTTGATCTTCCTTCGCGCTTCCCCCGTCTCCCTGTCTCTCCATTACACCCTCCAGACTTGATTCAACACTGCTGTTAATTAGCTGCTGTTGCAGACCAGCAGGCAATGCCAGCTTCTGCCTTTTAACCAGGGAAAGGATCAACTTTCAAGTCATACACAGCCAGGATTTGGCCCTTTCTAGTAGTATAATAGCTAGATCTTAGTCTGGAAGTGGGTATGGGTAGGGAGAAATCTGTACTATTGCTGCCAGAGGGTTAAAGACATCTCTTGGTCCCAACTTTCCTTACACAGGCGAGCATTAGGGGATCCATGGACCCGTGACAGCCTTTGGTCCAGTGAAAGGAGCTCAGCAAGGAGCTCCAGAGGAGCCCAGAGATTTGCAGCTGTCATCCCACAAGGCATCAGTGCAACTTAATTCATTTAGCAGTATTGGAACTGCCCCCTTACCTTTCTGCCAGGGTATCCTTGAATCCCAGGGTCTCCCTGCAAAAGGTAAAAAGACAAAATAAAATGAGGCTTGGCCTGAGAAGAATAAATCCCTGCCCTTTCCCGTGGGGCCATTCCACAAGGCCTTTGGCTCGAAATGACTCCACCAAGTCCCTGAGCCTTCAGACTCCGGGGTCCCTGTTACCTACAGTGACTGAACCTAGGAGGAGATGCACAAATGAGCACCAGCAGCCAGGTAACTCATGCTAGCTCCATGCCCCAGCTCTGTGGTTCCTATCTCCTCACCCTGGTGAAGTATCTCAAAGAAAAACAAATGGAGGTGGGCAGCAGCAGATGAAAAACAACCACCACTACCCCCCCACTCTCACATTTTGGCAAGTGAATAAATGGGAAGTTGCGGTAGAGTTAACAATAGCATTGCAAAATCAGTTCCTGAAGCGCTGGTAAATGCTTTGAGAGTGGAAGAAGCCAACAAAGCTGTGTGTGGCAAAGAATTTTGCAAGAGGAGTTGATGAGGCGTGCCTTACTCTGCTGAGATGCAACTCAGACGCTTTGCCAGGACAAAACCAATGAGTCAGCACACAGGCTGGGCCCCCTGGCCAATACAGAGCTGGGCTAGAAATCTTTCTCAGCTATTTGATGTAACCTCCTTTCCCTATCTTTCACCTTCCACAATTTACACATCTCTCCATGCTGCGAGAGTCCACCTCTCTGTTTATCACTTTGCTCCTCAAATTGAGGCCAGATGTCTCACCTTTGCTCCAGGAGGCCCAGGTAAGCCCTGTAAATAAAATCAGAATAGACACTGGAGTTGACAAACGTAGACAGTGCTATGCAAAGTGATGGGGGCCCCTTTTCAGAGATGACTTGCATCGGTGAGTTCAAATATCCCTGATCTATTCTTCACATAAATACTATTCTAACCCACACTCCCAAATTTCATTTCATTATTTCATGCCCATAATGCTCCATTCTCCCAGGCCTGGTTTCTCTGAATCTGAAGACTGAAAAGCTGCTTTTCCTCATGCACTGTGCCCTAGAATCTTTCCTGTCTCTCTGGCTTCACTTGGGAAACTTGTTCCCAGCCCACTGTGCAGCTCTGGATTAAATCAGGGGTTGGCAGCTTTCTCTAACTAGCTAAAGAGAGAGAATATATTAACAAACTACTTGTGTTTTCAAATGAGAAATAACCAAACAATTTACCTGATATGAACCATGAAGAACACCGGATATGCATGAGTGCAACTATAAATATACAAAAGATCCATACAGGAGCTGCCTTCCTGATGTGTGCAGACCAGAGGAGAAAACTACCTTAGATAGGCTCTGATACCTTAATTACATCTGATTTTGCCTGACAATAGCAATTCAAATGTTTATTCATCACATCCATAGCTCCTTAGAGCTCAGAGAGATGAGGACACCTGAAACTATTACACGTAGAGAAGCGCTTTTGTCTCAGGGAACGACACTGGCTCCTTTTTCTAGAAGGCCTTGAAATCTCCCACAGATGGAAAACTCGTTTCACACTGCAGCCACTGCAGGGCCAGCACATCACATTCTCCCCAAAGCTCCAAGAGCAGAGTTGTTTTCTGGCACCCACCTTTCCATCTCTGCCAGGCTTCCCAGGTTCTCCAGCTCTGCCCTGTTTTGCAAGAGACAAGTATGTTAGCACACTCTATCCCCTGCTGTTTAGCAATAGATCGTATTTTAAAATGTGCTTCACTTTTTGCCCTCTTTGACTGCTTGCTACACGCCTGAGAATGGGGCAGGAGCAGGAGTTCAAAGGGATGACAGGAATTTTATCAGTCAGATTTCTGCTGCAAGAAGAATAATTACACCCTGTGTATTACTTCTCCTCTGCAGACAGCTGGAGGGAGAAGGAAACGGGGCTGGTGTGACCCACTCACATACATGAACAGCTATCAACAGTGCAGGGACTTCCTGGGAACTTCTTCCTCCCCACACATATCCACCTTCCCTGCCATTCCTCTGTCCATGGTTGTCTGGCTTCACAAGAGGCAGCAAAGACCAGAGGAAATTGTGTGCATCCTAAGGAAAGAGGAAGCTGAAGGCTTTTTTGTAATTGGACTTACAGGTGGCCCAATTGGTCCGGGCTGTCCTGGGGTTCCCTCGGGTCCAGCTGGTCCAGCGGGCCCCGGCGGGCCGGGTGGCCCTGGAGGACCTTGGATTCCTGCTTGTCCTTGTTCACCCTGAAGTTTGTTAAAAGAAGGATTACCAGCAAGCAGAGCCAACTCAAGACACTGCCATCACAAGAGCCCAAGGCAGGTGAGCATGGCCAAAGCAGAAGAGGCAGAAGAAAAGTCCCAGGTTAGTGGCTGGAGAGGCTTCCAAGAGCGAGGCAGAGCCCTGCCAAGGACAGCCTGGCTGCCCAGGAGCCAGTAGCCCACGTTTTGCAAAGACAGCCAAGACCACCTTCTCAGTGCTTGCTTACAAGCAATCTACAGGTGGCCAAGCAGCCCAAACTCTTTGCACGTCAAACACCAACATCTCTTGGGCTTCTCAAGAAGCTTTCCAAAGCACTTGACAGTCACATGTGAAGCAAAGCCTCTCGTGACCACGCTGGCACTTCCTGGCAAAGCCGCAGCATCTTACCTCACCCTATTTTTTCCTCCTGCGCTTTATTTTTTGGGCAACGCTGCTGCTGTTTTTCCATGGACCAAAAGTAGAAATGCCACAAAACCGAAAGAAAATAACATGATCATCATGGCATTTCTGGAGCTCACCCAAAGCAGGCCTATGTCGGCCAGGCAGAGCCTGTTTCTGTAAGATTTAACAAGCAAGTGCGTGCAAAGCCACCTGCCATTTTAAGCTCTCCAAGGAAAGCCATTCCAGCTGGTTCCTCCCCAGGCCCCTCAGTAGCCACTCAGTGGCTGTGGCTCATCCCTCAGCAATGCCATCTGGCCCAAAGGACCAGCACTCAGGACTAAGCGGCACTGCGGAGACAGTGGGTTGGAAGCACCACACTGAATACCAGACTGCTGATCTATAATTGATGCATCCAGCAAACTCCTACGGCCCCATGGCACCCACGCTAAGCTGCTGTCTCACGAACTGCCCTGCCCAGATAAACTATCACAACATCCTGCTTCCACCTGAAAAACTCTTCTTCCACAGGAAGCTAGAAATCAAACATGGCGATTTTTCAACTGTAAATTAATGGGCACGTGGTTGAATCTCTGCTGCATTTATGCCCTCGATGCTGCTGCTGGGTAAAGGCAAGGCCGCCATCACGCAGCCTTGTGTGCACGGCAACACATAAAATCTGTCCCCTGCATGTGTTCCTAACCATGGTATTGTTTATCCTGGCTGCCCGTAGTAAAACAAGGCGATACAGGGACGTCTGCTTTATTTAGAATTCTACATGAAAGAAATAAGATGCAGATTTCGGCATTTCTGCCACGAGCTCTATTTGGAAGAAAATTTCCAAGGTGTGGGCCAGGCCTATGGGAAGCTCAGTAACTGGGAACGCGTGCTGTCCCCCTAGCAGAGGACAGGGAGATGGGGGGGAGCAGGAGCCCTGCCCCTGCATGGAAGCACCTGTGGGGACTGACCAAGCCACATTCACATTGCCTTTGTTCAGCTGCATCTAGCATAGCTCAGTGTGTGTAAGCGTATGCCCATCCACACAGCTCCCTAACCACACCAAATGTTATTGCCACATCATTATGTTCTTATTAATGCATTCAGCATGAAAAGACCCCCACAGATCTAACTGGACTGTAAGTGGATACTGTAAGTTGGATATCAGGTGTCACAGTCATCAGATGTCATTCTGTATTTTTAGCTGCTGCCTGGAGCCATTTTTCAGCTCTTTAAAACAGCATTTGGTCAACCTCATTGTGCTTCAGCAATGCAATGCTCATGGAGCCTCCTAACCCAGCCCTTGCTCAGTCCAAGCCCATGCACAAAGGGCTCCTGCTGATGTGCTCAGAGGTAGCAGCAGGATTTTCTTCCCTCAAGCACTAGCATTTACTTTACAGCCTCGTGTTTTTTCTTAGTATTCAAATGTCGAGCTCGTGGAATTGCTTGGTGCTGGCAGATCTGTAGTAGTGGTTTACACTTTGTCTCACTTAGAGAATGAATAAGGCAGCAGCAAAATATCACAGCAAAATTCTCTAGTGAAGCTGGCCTCTGGGGATGGAGGGAATTTGCAGCCCTGACTGACGACAAGACACGGGGCAGCTATTCAACTTTCCCACTTCATCCTGGATAGGAACTTTGGCTTTCAAAGCCTTCCCAAGAGGTCAGCCCTTGGCATGCCTCTCCAGACTTACTTTGAAGGCCAACCCATGCAAGCTGTGGGGCTTTACGTGCTGTGAACATTGAGCTGATAGGAACTGGGTTGAGAGCAGTCTCGAGTGATAACACCGGGATTTCACATAGCACTGGGAAGGCACCTCATGGCACTGCAGTGCCCTGCTAGCATCTGGCAGTGCAGACAGGAGGGTGACAAAAACCAGCCACTTCATAAAGGGTGCCAAGCACACTCCAGTGTGGTAATTACAGAAGTTTATCAACACAGGAAAGTCCATCCCAACTGATGGAATGGGGGGATGCTTCAAGTGGGCTCATTAAAAGCCACATGAACTCTGACTATGGACACTCTTACTCACTATTCATACGTCCATAATTCATTTTATGAATTCATTACCAAAATAACTAAACTAAACATGAGTTATGGTCCTGAAAACCAAAATAAACGTGTTTACACCAAGATTTAATGCAACTTAATGAAATCATTGTAAGAGCTTATTTAAACATGCTTTCCCCAGCGATTCAGACCAGACCAGCCCTCAGAAGTGCTTGCTATTCATTCTTCTCCGTTAAACTTCACAGACATTCGCTACATTTCAGCAAGAGGTTTCCAACCTCTTCTGGAGATTGAATATGCAGGACCTGACTCTGTAAAATAGGAGACTGCTTGTCAACAGTCCTGACTGCAGTTTCATGGCCCATTTCTTTTAGATTTAAGAACTGGCTCTGCTGCGTTTCTTTTTAGCCACATTATCACATCAAAGATTTCCTCCACTTCAAACAACATCTCTCAGCTCTGCCCAAACCCCTTGGAAGCCCCTCTGTAGGGAAAGACAGACAGGTAGTAAGCTGATTAATCACAAGCATCAGAATAGGCTTAGAAACAGGCAACGAGGAGAGGTCTACCTGGAAAGTGCGTCTCTTTATGACCGGAGGTGGAGCCAGCCGCACTGAATTGAGGAGAGGCAACAGCTGGAGATCAAACCAGAAGGTCACAGGGCAAAGGAGGCCATTAGGGCATGGACAGTCAGAGAGCAGCCGGGGGAGAAAACAGAGAAAAGGGGAACAGAGAGATTGCTATGAAAGTCAATGACTGCGTGCAGCCGGTGATACAGGTACCTGCCGGCAGACCTCTGAGCTGCTGTGCACTGTGCACTGCTCACTGGGTATGTGCTGTCCACCAGTCCGAGCCAACCAGGGCCTGAAGCATAGAGCTGCTGCAGCTTCTTCTGCTCAGAGAGAGCTCACCCGGGGATTTCTGACTCAGCTCCACTCCCAGACAATGTTTATTGCAAGACACCCCCATACTGGCTCTGCTCTTCAGTTCTCATCATCAGATCTGAGACAGCTATCAAAAAGCTCATCTTGTCCAAGGTTTTTCCAAGTGCACTTTCCCATTGTTTTCCCTCTTCCCTTACAAGAAACTATCTGGGGGCCTTACCCTTCCCCGGGGTGCAGCTGGCAGTGTGGCTGGCTGGGGTCAGCAGAAGGGCTCAGGGCCATCACAAGGGTGCTAGCGTGGTTCATTTGGCAACATGAACACTGCCAAGGGAGAAGACAAGAACTTGGAATCTCTGAGCCCTGAGCAAGGTACTGCCTTGGTAGCCTGCACTTTGATTTTCCTCACTTAGCAGTAACAGCAGCCTCCAACTGCTTATAGCCAGGAATGCTGCCCCAGTGCACAAAGCTGACCCGGACACACAGCAATCAAATGCACTAAAGCTCAGGAGCATTTGTTCATCCTCCTGCAGTATCCAGTTTCCACTTGCATACACACTGCTGTCAGCCTGGCAGTCACCACGGCAGCTCTAGGCCCAGGAATGCTCCCCTGGCCTGATCCGCTTTCCTGTTCCTATCAGTTTTCCATTGAAGCTGTTCTCAATTTACACAGGGAGAAGAGAAAGGAGCATTCTGTGCTCAAGTCAAAAAGCCTGTGCCCCTGTGCACAGCCATTCCCCACGTGAGCTGTGCTTGGATCCCAGAGGTGTGCCTGCAGGTCTTCCACCACAGTGACTGCGCACCCCAGCAGTGCTGTTCAGTCCCTTTAAATGCCACTCCTTGCTCTGGCAGCAAAAGCCAGGACAGTCTTGTTGCAAAGGGAAATGGCCATCCAATATTGCAGCATCACCGCCCCCTGCTCAAGTGGCCATGTTCAAATACACTGATTCTGAAATATTACACAGCTTACAGGGAAGCAGAGGGAGGATGGTGGAAAAGATGAAGGGGAAAATGGAGGGAAGCAGTATGAGCCCTTCCAAAAACAGACAAGATCTAACAATGGATGTGGGTGCAAGTAGGATCATTTAGAGAAGGAGCCTGACACCTCCTGCAGCCAGCCCTGCCCCTCTGGACCCCAGAAAGAATAGCGTGCAATATTGGATGCCTTGTGCCTTTGCATCAGAACCATTCCATCGGACCGTTACCCACAAACCTTCAGCGTAAGGATCTGGTTAGAGCGCAGGGCTGCAAGGGTGGTACTTAGGTACTCCTAGGGGACAGGGAAGACACACAACAGGGAGTCAGTGAAACACATGCTGTTTTTGAGAGCAGACAGAGTGTAGTTGCTCCTCTCTTCCCAGTGCTAAGCCCTGGGTGGCATTCTGGGACAGCCTCATGCCTGAGATCATCTCTTGCAGAGCCACAGGCCAAACAGAAGGAAAAATAGGAAACTACAACATGAGCCAAGGCATACATCCTAACCTTATATTTCCTTCCTAAGAAAACAAAGACCTAACAAAACTGAAACATCTCTGGCTTTTCAGGATGTTGGTTCTCACCTCCTTGACCGAAAAAAAAAAAACAACCAACAAAAAATTTGACAAAAGTATTCATCAACCAGTAAAACAAGAAATTGCAATTCAATCAAATGTGGGGCACATAAACAGCAAGGCTCTTTCCCACTCTGATTTTGGGAGGAAGAGAAGGAACTGCAACTCTTTGGGCTGCCTTGCACCACTAGCCCCAGCTTTGCAGCCTATGACCTGACACTGCAGGACAGCCCACCCTAGAGCTGATCTAGTGGCAACCACTCTTCCCACAAGCACATCTCTACCTTGAAAGGACCCAAGGGTTTCTTAAAGTGCTGAGCTTGCTGGCTCAGTGAGACCAGCACTATCCCGGGAGAGCCAAGGAGGCATCACCAAGGCTTTGCTGGGACGTGAGACTTTGCACCAACCTCTTCCCTGTTGTCCCAGCCCTGTGACATTACCCCCAGGATGCCTACAGCCCAGCCCACCAAACCAGTGCGCCCTAGCCCCAGGTTGCTCCCAGTGATGCACAACTTGCACCTTTGCTTTGACGTGTTTCTGTCAGTCCCATGCCTGCTTTTCACCTTGAGCTCTGAGGACAGGCAGGAGCCAAAGACTGTAATAAGAATCCAGGACACCGCTTGGGCAAACATTGTTCTTAGCTTCTTTTTAGCATAACGATCTAGTGAGCAGGCTCACCTAAATAAACACAGCTGACCTGCTATTATTGTACCCAAGCTGGCACTTGCCCACAGCTCCCATCTCTCTTGCTGCCAGCTGAGATCGTGCTCCTGCCTCCGCTACGCAGAGCATCCAGGGCCTTGCTCCCCTGGGACAGGCACCAGAGCCCAGCTAATTGTCCAGAGGCTCATCAAAAATAAACAGAAAGCCCTTAAGCCTGTCTCCCCGTACACCCAGATTACAAATTCCAGCCACTTCATATGATGTTGTTCCAATGCATTTCCAGTGGATTTTCAGCACTCCAGTTGTTTTTAGAGCTGGTTAAATTCTGCCTCTGTAATCCCCTCAAACTCCATGATGTACCCTCTCCTCTCTTGGCTGCAGTACATGCTGGCCATGCCAGGACACAGAGGCAAGGGGGCAACAGCCTGGCTTTCGTTAAAAGGCTGCTGCCACCAGTCCTCCCATGGCAGACTGTGGAAGTGGGACTGAGCCGGTGCTCTCTGCTCCTACAGAAACTTCAGGTTTCACTGAGTTTTGGGGTGAAGACCCTACCTTCCCCCCACCATGCTGCAGCACAGAGGCTCTGCAGAAAGAAGAAATGACAGCATTTAGCTTGGGGTCAGCCTCAGCGGCAGGAAGAGAGCAGAGAGCCAAGATCCCTCCTGGAAGTCCTTATCTACAGCTTTTCTGTGAAACACATCAATCAGCTGAGCGCTGCTCTCAGGCCCGGGTGACACATCTTGTTCATGAAACGATCTATATTTCCAACAAAAAGCCATTCAAACGAAAGGGGGATTAACATTCAGGAAGGCACAGGACAGACGATAATAACGCTAATGACTTACCCTGTGGGAGTACTCTGTGCACTGACCCTGTGTAAGAAGGGGATTAAAAGAAAAGAGTTTAAACCACGAACAGAGAGAACCAAAATAGACATTGGAGGGCAGATCCACAAGGTGTAAATCACGATGGCTCTATTGAACTCAGTGAGACTATGCCAATTTGTACTCGATAAGCAGCCTACCTCCCACCCACTGACCCTGCAGCCCTTTGCTTTTCCTGTATCTCTCAGTCACTCAAAGTCAAACCGAGCAGCACTAGCCCAGCCCACTTCTCTGCTCATTTTTTTACATGCAATTTTCAGCATATTGCCCATTAAAATTACCTTTTCTCCTTTTTGTCCTGGGGGTCCCTATAAAAGAGATGAGGTTTTTAAAGGCTCTTGGTAAAGGAGAGGTTCTGTACATGCAAGAGGAAAGGGATGGGGGAGGTACAAACACAAAATATAGGGTACTTACGGGCTGTCCCCTGGGACCTGTGGCGCCCTTTAAAGAAACACATAGTCATGAATACAAGATGGATTTACAGCGACAAATGCTTTCAGTGTAGGGAGTAGGTGGAACCTCAGTTTTTACAAACTTTTGTGGAGAACAGTTTCCAAGAGAGCTCTGGGTTCCCTTTGTTACTCGGGAGGAGTGAAAATGCACACATGTTCTGGCTGCACCATGGGGGGGATTTATTAAAAGGAGGGGGGAAAAAACATCAGGAAAACACACCCTCATTGTTGCCTGGATCTCAGCTGCCAGCATGTCTCCTTGGCAGATGCAATGAGATCGAACATGCAGCAGCCAGGACTGAAGCCTGAGCTAGGGTTGTGCAACTGAGGGATGGCAGCTCACCCTCTTCCAGGGAGCAGGGATGGGGATCTTCAACATGTGCTTGCCAGAGGGCTACACTGACTCTTGGGCTCCAGAAACAGAATTTGCAGAAGAAAACATCCAGCAGTTCACTGAGCAAAGCTGACTACAGAGCTGCTACTTTGGTGTGCTCATGTTTGGGGATTTCATCATCCAAGAAGTTGAGAGAAACAAGATCACACTTGGGTTCCCATGAAGAATAACCCAAGTTTATCATTCCCAAATGAAAGCATTTTGGTATGATGCACAAATGTAACAGACCTTCAAGAGGGGAAAGAAAAGCATTCAAACAAATAATACACTTTTTTTTTTGTTAGGTAAGTTGAAAGCCACCAGATGGGTTTTCAAAAACTTTCACTTCTGCTATGAGGCCAACCACAAAAAATGTCAGCTCCCAGAGTATATTTAAAGAACATAATTGCTAACTGTGAGGAAAACATATCCCATGCATAACTACAGAGTTGCTGTTGTGACATGATGAATCTGATAGCCATAATGTAAAGATTACAGGCATGCATCTCCACACTGCAATGAAGTTACAGAATTAGGTACGTAGCCGGGCCGTTAGCTGAAGCTAGGACCACTAGTCTGCCTACAAGCTTATTTCCAGCTGAGAGGCAATGCCATTTCAAACCAATCCATCAACCACTAGCATATATAATTTTTGTTGTTGTTATTACCATCTCTCCCTTCTGTCCAGGATAACCCTGCGAAAGAAAGAAAACATCCCTCAGCTTCAGCCACTGCAACCTCTAAAAGATATTTGCTTTACCTGCTTACCCTTTGCCTTGAGAGGTACTCACAGCCACTATTATTTCTCAAGAGAGATACAACGCCACACATGTGCAGCTTTGCTCATATAACTAACACTACATTGTTCCCCAACACCCAAAACACTGAGGTTTTCCCTGCAGCAGGTTGGCTGCTGCCCTTGTGAGGTGCTGGTTCAGAGATTTGCCTGGAAAGGAAGCAGCCACGCTCGCTCTCCCTAATCTCTTACCACCTGCAACTCCCCCAAGGCATTTGTGGCATCCACCTGCCTACCAACCTTCTGATTTTCATTTAATCCATGCATGCGCATGACACTGCAAAATAATCCTCTTAAAAACATACTCTGTAGCATGCAGGCTGGTAGGAGAGTGGGACCTGGCAGGTGGCAGGGCACAAAGCCTCCAGAGAGACTGTTTGCTTACCGGTTTGCCATCCAAGCCAATAGGACCCTGAAAGAAAACAAAAACAAAAAAAAACAAAAGGGGGAGAAAAAATGAGAAATGCTTTCACCTGAGCATCTGTCCACCTGCCCCAGCAAAAACTATGTGCCACAAAACTGCAGAGATGGGTACCACCCAAGCTTCCTGATTGCTTCTGCAGGGACCTTCTCACTGTCAGCCCATTTCAGCAGCAAAGCAGGAGAGATTATCCATTGGCAATTTGCAGGAAAAAAAAACCCTCAGCATTTCAAATTTTGCAGCATCTCATCAATTAATTGAAAATCAGCACAGTTATCTGGAGATTCGGATTTCAAAAGACCATTGGGAAAAGAGGAATTTTTGCAAACGATAGTATAAGAGAAGTGTCCCAGGGAAAAAGTGACATAGAGCTCAGCAGCATTTTGAAGGTACGATATGATGAAAAACAGGCCCCATGGAGCACCATCCCACTCAACACTTTCTCATGAGCTGGGCTGATTTGTTCTCTGCTGCTCCAAAAGCCAAAGACCACAAGGGCCAGGAGAGATCTGCTTCTCTTCAGCCTCAGGGCAGATCACAGCCCCCCTTCTCACAAAGGGCAGAGCTGCGGAGTCAGATTGGCTCAGAGGTGGCCAATTCCTCCTGTTTTCCAGGCAAGAGCTTCCTTCCTCTGAAGACCTGCTCTGGCACATCGTGTGTCCTGGAGCAGCAGCTTCAGCAGCTTCAGCTGCTCGGCAGGAGCCAGGGCGCCAGGGCTGTTTGTGTTTGCCTTAGGCTTCCTAGCTGTCCAGGAGAAGTGCATAAGAATAAATAGCAACCGTTTGAGTTTTTCAGCAGCCTTGATGCTCCACAGAGCATTGTCAGCAACTGTAAAGCTGAAATGAAATGTGCTTTGTCCTCTTTTAGGCTTGTTTCTCATTCCCTTACCCATCTGTAACTTCACATTGGAGAAAAATCCCCCCTACATTCTTATGCTTTTTGCCCTTTTGCTCTGGCATGACCATGGTGTTCAACCCAGTTCCCACCTGTATTCCATCACACAGAGCCCTGTTTGGATTACAGATGCTCATTGCTACTACAGAATCACCTAAAAGTTCGACTAAAGTTGGAATTTCACGTACCCAGACTATTTTCTTTGCTTGGGGAGTATTTTCTCAGAATGGTTCTCTTTTACTAAACAGATTGGGCTTCAACTATGTTATTTGAACACTTATGTTTTTCTTTTTTTTTTTTAAATTAATTTCCTTTTGGCATACTATGGTTAGTTTGGTGTGTTTTTTTCCCCCCCTAAGCATCACTTAAAATAAAAAAAAAAAAAGAAAAAAGAAAAAAAAACAAAAGAAAAACAAAAGAAGAAAGCAAATGAAGAAAAAATTACTTTTTCCAGGAGCATCAGATCAGATCCTTGGCATCAGACAGATGATAAGGTACAGCAAGCACTAATGACACTGCTTAGTAATACCACACACACGTACCTCATCAATCTAGCAGTTACACTTACCGGGAATCCAGGAAAACCTCTTGTTCCAGGCTGTCCCTGGAAAAGATGAAACAGAGACAGCAGTTTAGAGGAACCGAAAGGGATTCCTATGGACCCTAAGTTCTGTCTATGAAACCTTTTCTCTAGCCTGTGCCCATTTATCCTACGGCTCTCCAAGGAGTTACCCAAGACCTCCAAGGAGAATGCGACTGGGGAAGAAGGGGAAATCTCACATTCCCACTCCAATTTATACAGGGCCAGGAAAATGCTGGAGCAGGTCCAGTTTGGACTGCAAGCAGTTTCCTTGAAGTTTCTCCATTAATTAAGTGGGTGTCCCTAGCCCATACATGAGCCATTTGGAGTATGTTCCAGAGGCTGAGCTCATTTTATGGCAATTCTTGCTGCCATAAAACGGAGGCGTTTAATGCAGGATGCTGCTCTGCGCAAGACAAACCTTGCAGGTCACTGGTGTCTAAATACAGCCATTCCTCGTCTCCTCCCTCCCCTGTGTCTTGTCCCAGAGCATTCATTTTCCTCACAAATAATTCTGGCCAAGGTACGATTTTTCTCTTTGCCTGCTTTTTCCCATCTAAGAGCTAAGAGAAAAAGGAGTGGTGTTATAAGGAATGTGAGCACCAAGTCCTTTACCTTTGCCTTTTCCTGGTTAGCCAGGGCTGGCTACCACTTTGAGAATAGTTATAGTAAACACACTGACTTGCAATATATTTAATAGTTTCTTCATTACTCACTTGAACACACTGGGGTGGGTGAGAGGAGGGGGCAGAAAGAAAGAAAGAAGAAAAAGAAAAAATGGTTCTTCGCATAATTCTTCTGTGACATCCCAAGACGCAGATACCCTAGGTCTTTGGGCATCTAGTAAAGATACCAGTTTACTTGAGGATCATTATTGTGTGTTTTGTCTCCTAGGAAAGACCTGGGTATAAGAAAGAGTTTGCTTTTTCACCTTAACCAGAGCAATCCAGAGGAAGGGAAAGAACGGTACAGGTTGGCCCGGCTTCAAGGCGCTGATGAGGTTTGCCATAGCAAAGCAACGCAGTCCCCTTGGGACAGAGCTCATAGCCTCATCACCAGGAGAAGTAAGATCTTCAGATTGCATCTCTTCCAGCCTCCCTGCCCCTGCAGAGAGGCTCAGTGGGGATTCAGTCCTGCTGAGGATGGGGATAAATAACCTCTTTGCACAACTTGAGGGCTGCCCCTACCATAGAGTGCCTGGACTTGCACCAAACAGTTGTTTTTATACACAGTGCTAGCAGGACCTGATTACGTTTGCATTGTTTTCTTAGTTTCACTAAGTTGAACTTGGTCAACTTTGCTTTGCATTGCAAGATATATATAAAACCACCTGGTCCCATTGGCCAGTGACCAGGAGGGAAGATCAGCTATAAATTAAAGAATTTGTCCACCACTGCTTTCTGAAAAGGCGAAAATCAAGTAGAGCCTAGCCACAATTCATTAATTCTGGCTCCCTGCTGGAAGTCTCCCCAGACAAGAAGTGCTAAAAAAAGAATTAAGGAGAAAATCTGGAAATGGTGCAATTTGGCTTCCTCTCTAGGCTGCAGACTGCTGCCTCTTTCTCCTTGGAGGACGGCATAGTGATTTGCACAGTATCAGGCCAAAACAACAGTTCACAGTGAGTGATTCCAAGAGTCTGTTTTTGTTGGGTAGCTGTTTTTCCTTGTCTTCTTTTTAAGATGCTGATCCTATGAAGTATGTAATCCCGGGAGCTGCCAAATCATGGAGATCATCTGTTTCTGCCACTATCGGCATACTGTCCCTCTCTGGCCAGGAGTTAAGCAGCTCTGAGCAAAAGCTTTAACCTTCAAATGAAAATCTGGAAACTATTTCTCATCCCACATCTTCCCAAGTGGCCCCTTGGCTGGGGTTCCTGTGTTTGTCTTCGGTGCTCAGCCATCCTTCTGACCTACCACCAGCTCCCCTGGAAATGGGATCATCTTCGCAAGGGCTATGGGAGAGAAGCGGGGAGCTGGGGTAGGCAAAAACTCCTCTTAAAAATCACTTGCCATCTAAGTTTTCTGGTTTTAGGGTTTTTTTTTTTTTTTTTTTTTTTTTTGTTTTTGTTTTTTGAGGTTCAACATGTTCTGTGCTTTCCCAAATGGCAGCAAAGGCAATGAGGCTGCACTGAAAGAGACATTAAGTCTGTCTTGCAGACTAGGCACATGTTCTTCAGGGAAAGAGCAGTGCCCAGCTACATTTGCAGGTCCTACATCGATGAGGACCACCAGGTTTTCTCTCCTGTTGCTGTTTCATACTAGGCTGAGAGCTACAGCTTGAGAGAAACAGAAGAAACATGCAGCCCTTACCCTCCAAAAACTGCTTGTGGCACTTGGGTGGCTTTTCTCAGAGATTAGCATGGAGGAACCCATCAGCCCACCCTCCTCACCTGGCCAAGTGACCAGGGCTGATCTGTTGTGTAACAAATGCTTAAGGAAATTCTTTTGCTTCAGATCTGTCGCTTCTCAAACTGCAGTGTGCCACGCAGGTGGGCCTGGGAGCCCACAAAGCTGTTACTTATTAGAAACTCTTCTTTTGGAAAGCTAATTGGAAAGCCAGATGTAGCCAAGCATTCGTGCTGCCTAGGTCTCTCTCACTTGACCTCTGCTGTGAAACAAAAGTCGCCAGCAGCCCATCCTCTTGGCAGGTCAAGGACAGTGCTCTTCACAGGTTAATCAAAATCGGAAGTGCGCAGAGGGAGGGAGAGAATTAAGTCCCTGGGTCTTTTCTCATGGAAATCTCCAGAGAAGGCTGCACAGGGATGGAGTGAGGAGGACTGGCTGCATCTGCACAAAAGCAGAGGCTTGATGGCTGAAGTGCAGAGCAAGAAACATCCAGTGTTTAGGGCACTTAAGTGTTCCAGCCCTTAATACTGTGCCGGCCTGCTTTTTTCTCACCCTACACTTGCAAGAAGTTTTGTCTGGCTGACTTCTTGCTTTTGCTGGAGTGGGGTGCAAAATCCTCCCTTGCCTTTCCTCTGCTCCCCAGTCAGCAAAGGGGTTTTCAAGATTTCAGTATCTACACTGGCAAAGAGTTTCCAAGGCTTTGGGTACTGACAGGGACCTCTGGACAACTCTGATCTATCCATCTTTGTGAGTTCTCTTGTCACCAGCTTAGCTCTGATCCTGCTCTTCTGCAAAATTAGGGGGGCTTGTCCTTCGCTAATGAAACCAAAGGCTGAAATCAGCCAGGCTAATAGCACGTTCTCCTCAAAAACAGGAGTGGTCCTGTTGCAAGAAGGAAATATGTTTTTTTCCTTTCAAATACAGGACTATAGTTTCCTTGTAAGACGAGGCTTCTTTGTCTGTTCTGAAGTATGAGCTGTAATTTCATTATACATAGTATATAATAGCGGTATAAAACCAAGCCTGGCTCAACATGGGAACCACATTATACAGGGGTTTTGCTCTCTCCAGCTGATGCTGTCTTGCTGCCCCTCCTAAATGTTTGTTTCCCTGTAACTTGCCCACATCCTGAATCAGTCAAAAATAGAGAGTAAAGTCACTCACGGGTGGACCACGGGGCCCAATGATAGACATGCCTGCTTCTCCTGGAGCGCCCTGCAGAGAGACAGGGAAAGGAAAAGGGGTGAGAAAAGGTGAAAATACAATGAAAATGACATTTCCATCAAGACTGAGATTTAATGAGGCTGCTCAAGGTATAAGAATGTCAGGACTCATGCGGCAGCTGCCATTCTGGCCTCCCCCAGCTCACTCTGGGAGGAGAAATGTCATTTGGGACTATCTATACACAACAAAAAAAATAGAAGCTGTGCAGCAAGTAAAATTATAAATGTGTAAAACACTTGTTGGCAAAACACAGGCTCTGCCCCCTTGCAAATGTGAAAGACTGCCTGAAACCCCTGTTGCTGCCAGAATATGTCTGGTCAGACTTCAACTTCAGAGAACACTAATGTTTTTCCGTAATTTCCATTGCTAATGCTCACCCTCAGTCCCTGGTCCCACCACACCCACAGTTTGGAACTTTGTAAGCACTTTCCACATTCCTCCCCAGACACAGCTACATTTTAGTGACTGCTTTCTGCCCATCCTGTATATCTTTTGTAAAGCAAAGAATACGTTGCATATGTTGTATATTGTCTTCTGCAAACAGGCAAAACATGTGGGGAAAAATTACCTAAGAAAACCCCACAGATTCTGAATACTCTCTGGTGATCATTTCTAAGAACATCCTTTGTAGGCAGTATGGAAACACTGGCTAGAGAGCTCCATACCAAAGACCATGTTCTCTCTTACGGACTAAGATTACATGAACTGGCCATGTTTTTTGACTGCAAAGCTAGCTATTCTATGAATAGGTCAATTGAGACTTAATGACTGGGCAAGAATGGAAAAGTTTAGGTCTAAATTAAATAACTTGATGTTGAAGCAGCATCACATGCTGCACAGTATAAAGTGTGTGTTCAGAGCGGAGAAGGGGGAATACAGAAAATAAAAGGCTTGCTCAACTGTGGTTTTTTGGAAGAAACTGGGTCTGCCATGGAGACAAGCAGTATAATTAATGATGTATCACACTGATTCAGTTTGGGCTAGATCCTAAGACAAACATCAATTCTGAGACCATTCTAGTACCTGAAAACCAATACAGAAATACTTGAGATCTTGCCTCTCCTACATCAAGCTGCACCGCAAGAAGTGCTGGAGACTTTGGTGTCGATTTCCAGCCCAGTTAGGGCTCAGTGCAGAGGTCCCAGTAGCAATAGTCCCCCACACCACATATGCCCTGTAGATCCCAATGCAAGGGCTGGATCAGTAGTGGCACAGGCTGCCTTCATTCTTGCAGCAGGCGCTGAGAGCCCACCCAGAGCCAGGACCAGCCAGGTCTATGGGCTCTATCTGCTTGACTGACAATCTCAAAGCTGCTGGTGAAAGTGCAGCACAATTTGCCCAAGGCTTTTTCTCTTTCAAAGCGTGAACTGCACTAAGTGGACATGGAAACAAGTCCTTAAGTCAGTAACAGGCAGCTGATAAGAGACCCACAATTAACAGTTGCCAGAACAACAGCTGAGCTGTCTCCTTCCCACAGTTCAAGATAACCTGCATATCCAGGAAGCCTCTCACACATTCTGCACCAGAGACAAAAGAAAAAGGGATATGGCGAGCTCCGGGAAAATGGGAGGCACGGGCAGCTGGTCAGCTGCTTCCTGACTGCACTGGGGAAGAGCCTCGTTTGTGTGCATATCAGCTCAGATGGGATGAGGATGAAAACAGCAAATCCCTTCCTGGAAAAGCAAACAGGCGCTCTTCAGCTCCTAGCCACCCACGATGTGCAACGGGCAGGAAACACTGTGTCTTTAGAAAGCACTGTGTATCCCTGAGAGGCTGCTCCAGAAGTGCCCAGGGCAGGGCAGCCGTTGGATGGAGCATCCCATAAACCATGCAGCCTGCAAGCAACAGAACTCTCTGCAAAACCAAGCTAGGACTGCCAAGGACCTCACAGAGGGCTTTAGGGAAGTACGAGCAATTAAGAGTGAAATCTTGGTCTGTTAGATAATATTTATAGGCTCCAATGAACAAGCAGAAGCCTGAAAGCAAGGAGAGAGATTCTCCATCCTAACTCACTCTTTCTTGCTGCATTTTTCTATCTTCCATGAAAAGGAGCAAATGGCTCTGGTATGGTGATGCCCCACACACGATTCCCCTACTAGGTGAATATTCATCTCTTTCCTAGTTTCTATAACTCACTGCTTCTGGCTGCAGATTCCCAGTTATTCACACACCTCAAATGCACATCATCGCTATTCTTGTGGATGCCAAGTCCCACCATGTCAGAAACAGGAGCATGCCATCCCATTTTCCTTGCTGTGGCTCACAGCAGAAATTGTGCTGACCCAAGAGGCAGAGAGGAACTGCAAGGGTGATTAGGGCAAGCGGTGCTGCCAGCATAGAAGAAACTCAGTGGTTAACACCCAGGAAGCCTCGAGGGGAGCCTTGCATGTGCCTGCCAACTCATACACTGTTAGTAAATTGTCATAAACAAGAAACACAGCTTTTTTGGAGGCTGAGTGGCCTGGGAGGAATGTGGGAGATAAACTTACCCTGCTGGGGGAGAGCAGGCACCCCAGGGTGTGGAAACCCAAAGTCGGCTGCAGTGGCCAGGGCTGCAGCTAAGGTGTTTAGGCTGGCCCTCCAGGAGGGCAGCCAGAGATACTAAAGGCTGCAAGGAGCCAACTCACCTTCTCTCCAGGTTGCCCTTTTAGTCCCTGGGTCAGTTGTACCCATCGCAGCCACATGCAAGAGGGTGCAGGGGAGAGAGAAAGAGAAAGAGACACAAACACAGGCGTCAGCGGTAAGGGCACACTCCCCTGCCCCAAAACCCGGGCTGCAGGGTTGGAATGAGAGGGGCAGCCACAGTCCCCACCCCAGCCCTCGTTCCCATCCTTATCTCAGGTTGCCTGAGTGGAAAGCAGTCCTAGAATGCAGTGCTCAGCCAGGCAGGGCATGGCCCCCTTGTTTGGGCAGGGTTATTTGGAAAGGGCAGCAGTAGGCAGTGGGCAGGGGAGCACGTTAGCAAGCCCGTGGTTAGCAGAATGGAAGGTAACATCCTTCGCATGTATGCGGTTTATAGGGCTGACTACCCCATTGCAACCTCCTCAGGTGTGGGTCTTGGAGAGGGTGGCTCTCCTCATGCTCACACCACCCCAGATTCAGCCTGGAAGTACTCTGATATCTCAGGGTTCAAAGAGGAGAGGGAGGACAAGGAACACGCTAGAGGTCTCGACTTACCGGCCGTCCAGGAATCCCCATTGCGCCTTTGTCTCCCTGGCAATGAAGACAAAACCAGAGGCAATTGGAAACCGGCCAAAAGCAAGGTCATAAAACTGCACAAATGAGCTGTGCCACAGATGCAGCTAAGTGCTGCAATGCAAGCATCCAGGAATTTTGAGAGAGGAAGAGAGCAAGTTATAGAGAAACTATGTCTGTGGGGACCCCAACCTGCCTTTAAGAATCTGTGTAAGTCACCAGTTTGCCTGAGTGCAAGGCAAGCCAGATCATCTCACGACAGAAATAACATAATTATTTAGGCAGAAAAAGGAAGGCAAGAGATTTTTTCAAGCTAACCAAATCTAATTCCAATTTCCTCCACTTCACAAAATTCAGGTCTTGGGAACCAGCTTCATGCAGTAGTCAAGTGTCACATTTTTTCTCTTTCTTCACTCAAGTAATGTCTAGAGTAAGCTGTTTATTTATAGAGTTATCACGCTTGGACTTAAAAGTATGCTCCTGTCCAGAAGCAAGAAAAAAAATGTGGGAAAACAAGCTGACACAGGAAAAAGTATGTCTGGAAGAAGACATATGAATGGCTGTGTTCAGTGTCCTCTACCCCTTTGAGATACTACTCAGTGAATTGTCAGGGTGTGAACAATCCTACAGCAGTTTAGGGAATGACTTTGGGTCAGGTGACACTGAACAGAGCCTTATAAACATATGAACACATATACCACAAGACCAGTGGCAATTTTCCTCAGCCACTTACCCACAAGGCAGATTTCTACCTCATACATTTTTTAAAAAGTGAATATCAGCCCTTTCTGCATTCCTGGTTGCCAAAACTCAGCTCTGGGCAGATATGGAAGACAGTCACAAAGATCCTTTTAGTAATCAGCTGCTATGGCTTCAATAAGCATGTAATTTTTGTTCTGTTTTGTAAAAATGACACAACAATAACCTTCCAGTTCCATTTCCAGCAATGTCTGTGATTTCCTTGTGTTCTTTTTCACCCAGCTGCTTCCCTAGACACAAACCTAGATTTTTAGTTTCAGCAGCTGGAGACACTGAACCCACTGCTGTCACTTCTTTGTGCCTTGTCCACTTCCAATGTGTATGAACATGCAGAGGTTTCTTTGTGCATCATAAAAGAACCACCACCAGGAAAGCAAGCTGCTGTGATCCCAAAATCTGTGCTCCTTCCTTACTCACAACCATCTCAGATGCAGATACGGTTACCATGGACTTTCACATTTGCAGAATTTCATGTAGGGCTTGTAAATCCTGTTGCAATTACCAAGCCCATCAGTGAGAAAATAGCACAGTGCACCACTTCAAGGTAAAAAAGGCTTCTTCAGAAGCAGTGTATCCCAAATGTAGGAGGGTTCATAAGGACTACATTGCCATTTTGGTGCCACAAAGCTCTTGTTGTTCCTATGCTGTTAGGAGCCATGACCTGTTGGCAATATGCTATTTTTCCACATTAGGAATCTATGTGAGATTGCTACCTTCTCACAGCTTAATAAATCTTGGAGGTCTATCGATGAATGTATGGCAAGACAGAAAGAGAGAACAAAAGAAGAAAGAATGAAGTACTTACCGGAAGTCCTGGTCTTCCTGTAGTGCCCTGAAACACAATACATGCACACACAAAAAAAATTAAAAAAAAAATAAAAAATCAAAGTTAGCTTGACAATCCAAAGGGAAGGCTTGATATAAAGAAATCATATGTAAGGATTTAGGAAACAGAATAGTTAAAAATCTCTCCACAGCTTGTTGACCATGAGCTCTGATTGCTTTGGTTTCCTAATCACCTGTTTGTAAAACGTTCTCTCCTTTCAGCGTGGCTCTACCCACAGCTCGCTGCCTGCATAGACTCTGAAGGTATCTGCAAGTCCATGGAGAACAAGCTAATTACAGGGCTCTGACTTTCTTCCTTAGTTTCCATCTGCTAAATATTAATTTTTCATGTATGGAATTGCTGCAGTTGCCACAGAAATGTTGCATGTTCAGAAATGGGAGGGAAAACATCCACGAGAGGATCTTTTCCTTCGGATGTGGTCCAGACAGCAAAAGAGTCCGGGAACCTCAGTACTATTGCACGATTTCATCATTTCCTTCCTTCCTTCGCCCATTTCAGTCCCAATCTCACCAAATTTCTTGCATGACTGCGGGTTGCCCTTGCCTTCACCAAAGCCTTGGCTGACATCAAGGACAACAACGGGAGCATCTGTTGGGCAAGAGGAGAGTGTAAAGGCTCCTTTTGCTCCTGGGGCTGTTGTTCATCCTTTCCTCAGCTTTTCCCCTAATTGACCAAGACTACAAGCTGGGCTCAGTGCATTTCTAAAGTGGATTTCTGTCCATTCCCATGCTCAGCCAACATCAGCACCAGGGGCTCAGCCCTACCACCGCACACGTTGCCTTTTGCAAGCTGGGAAAGAAATCCGGGAGAGAGGTGTGAGGTCATCAGTGCTTCAGGGTCGCTATCTAGACTGACATACATGTGTGACAGACAGCCAGGCAGGAGCCCCTGTCTGTTGTTCATAAGCATGAGTTTTCATCAGATTTTAATAATAAGAAATAAGTGGGAATAAATATTTCCCATGGTAACATAGAGGACTCTGCTCATCTCTTTAGCCATGAGCTTCTGCTCACAGCAGTTGAACCAGTCTCGCTTGCCAGCCTCTTGGAAACCCAGAGCTTCTGAGTGAGACAAAGGTGCTGTTAGCTCAGGACAAATTCCACTTTGGCTAACGATGCTCGGTCTGCCTGACTTCCTCTCGTTATTTCCATTGGCTGTCACGCTCCTCACGGCCCGTCCTAGAAGTCTGCATGTGGAGACAGGTTCAGGGGTCACAGGAAGCCAGGATACAGTAGCATATATTGTCAGCACTTCTCTGGTGGTCCCACGCATTTCTGCCAGACTTCAATCTTTCATTATGATATTAAATTTCTAGCCCTTTTTGTTGCAAAGAAAGCCTGGGCTGTGCGTCCTCCTCACCCTGCAAAAGCACAGACTGCTCTCCAGGAGATGTCTGCACTGACCTATTGCTTTCTTTCCTGTTTCTAACGGCAATAATATAAATGCCAACATCACTACTAGTTTTGTGCCACATCCTTTTAGCATCAGTATGCGCCTGCCTGGGGCAGCTCCCTCCAGAGTCGTGATCTCTTCCCTGTAACCCAAATCTAATGCTGAAATACATTCACTTCAGTGGCCAGCCCTGAAAGTCCCTGGGATAAATGACTGCTGAAGGTTTGCGTGGATCAGGGCTTCCAGCTGTAAAATACTTTCAGACCTTCTGGCGTGGAAGGTGCAACTTTTTGGAAGATTGCTGCCATTAAAAGGGACTGTGCTCACATATCTGTGGGAATCCAGTCCACAGCATTTTTGACTTGATGAAAGGGGAAAATAGGTTGTGCAGCAACTACTTCTCCTCGGAACGTCATCTGCAAACTGTTTAAGACATTTTTGCAAGAACAGACAAAAGATGACTACCGTATGTTTAACTTCTCATATTCCTTCATACAAACCAAGTATAGTTACTCCATTGTACATGAATATAAGCCATTTCCTCTGGAAGGACTGTGCTAGAGACAATATAACGTTTCTTTATAATCCTGTGAGATGTCAATACATGGCCTCATTCCTTGCATTACTTCTTCTGATTCACTGCGGGTCTCTTAATAGCTGTAAGAAAACTTCTGCAATAACCTAGCTGTTTTCCTGCAGCCTAAATCATCTGCGCTGAGGTTTTGCATTAGCTAACATTTGAAAAGGAAGCTGTCAACACACTTCTCCCTCTGAAATTGATAGCTACCCAGCTACACTTGAAGGCCCAGCAGTTCAGCAAGCCTGGGTGATAGCAGCAAGCAAGTCCCTACAGCTCAGCTTGCACCATGTGTTTGCGATCTGTCTTTCCGTTTTTCACAAACATGTCTGGTTCAGCGTGTGGCATCCAATGCATGTGAAGCACATGCAGCTGATCCCCCTGGGGTATGTGGGGCCAAGTGCTAACGCACAGATTTCTGAGCCCTCGCATTTGCTTTGTCCCCAGCCCTGCAATCCCTTTGTCTCACCCTCAGAAGTTGTGACATAGCAAAGAACAACTCCATCCCAACACAGGTCCTGAGCACCCACAGTACTTGCTGTTTGTGAGATCCCAAGGTGGACACCACAGACTGGAGACTGCCAGTTCATGCCCCACAAACCATGTCAGTAGCTTGTACACCATAGAGTTTCAGTACTTACAGGTGGACCTGAAATAGAGAAAGAAAAAAAAAAAAACGAAAAAAAAAACCCCAGGAATTAATTTTTAATGCAATAAATCCTAAGGAGGATGGCTAATTAAATATGTTATTACTGCCTTTTTGGGCTGATACTCATGTTGCTCCCACTTTGTGATGCACTTCCAACCACCTCCTTGGTCCTTAATTAAGATATTCACACAATTAGCAGCATTGCTTGCCAGTCACCACAAGTACAGGGCAGCTCCAGAAAGCACCATGTTGGGAAGGCTGTAAGTCAGGCTGTACACTCGTTGTTGGTCCCTTGGCACACAGGGGTCTCCTCCTTGAGTGTGACACTGCTAAGCGTGGGGGACTTATTACATGCAGAACTCCCCCTCACATCCCACCTGCCCATCAGAGTCAAGAAAGTTAAACCTGGGAAGGTGAGAGCCCCTGTGTTGCTAAGATGCCCACTCATCTGCCATCAGCAAACCCGCAGAGGTTCATGAGGAAAACTATAACACATTGTGACAATGTGACTGAACACATTGGGTGCCTTTTCTCCATAGTACAAGCTCATCTTCTCTTTTGCTTTTGCCTCTTCCCATAGGAGGCAATCTGCCCTCTTGGAAGTGATCCTCTCAAAACCTACGGGTTTATTTTTTATTAGAAAGCCTCGCAGAAGCCTTGCAGTGCTTGTGTAGCACTACATCTCCTTTGTATAGAACCACTGCACCATACAGAAGCACACTTCTTTCATCAGTTCCCAGAAATTTCCTCAAAACCCTGACAGATATTGTGTGCAGAAAGAAATCCCTGGGCTCACTATTTTGTGGTTTCCTCTCTGTGGGAGAATTGAGACACACAATACAACTGTCAGGGGTTTCTACATTTTCCATACTTCCTAGACACTCTTTTTCCCTTTTTTTTTTTTTGTTTTGTTTTGTTTTGTTTGTTTTTTGTCTCCACATCAAGCGCCAAGAGGTAAAACTAAGCAGTATAGCAGGCAAGCTGACAGATAACAGGCAGCAACCCCTACTTTGCACAGGGCGTAGACGTCATGCCAAACACTTGCAGAATACATTGTCATCCTGAAAATGCCCCTGAATGAATGTCCATAAAGTACAGGAGACTTTAGATGAACAAACATTTTCTGTGTCGGAAAAGTCTCATCAATATGATGCTAGCAAACAGTTTGGCTATCTAGCTTCAGTAACCTAAAATTACATGCTCAGTGTTTTTAGTCCTGTGCTCAGCTTTCATCTAGGTTGATCAAAAAAAGGGTACTCTTCTCTTAAAATAATGTTAAGAGTTAAGCATGTTGCTGGGGATCAACAGAGCTAGGGCAGAGCCAGAAGGCTTAACAACTCAAAATGAGAACAACTCTACCCAAATTTAGGACAGGAACTCAGTGGGCACCAGATTTGGTTGATCAGCAATTGCCTGCTGCCAGTGTTGGGACTGGTCACTGTCCTACACCATGTGCCACGTCTAAACAACAGAAGAGTTTCTGATCAGAGGTCATTTTGGAGGTCAAGGTCAGATTCAGATCCAGGAATCCCAATTTCTGCCAGACTGAGAGGAAAAAAAAAAAAAAGGTTTTTTGAGTTTGGCTTGGATGACAGTGAGGTTCTATGAGAGAACTGTTTTGGAGATATTCTGTTTCGGAGTGAGCACCATGCCACAAGGTCACTGCTTACAGCCTGCCAATACACGGACTTTATTTCCATTAGCAACACTATAGACCCTTAATAATCCGCCTACCCGTCTGCAAGGCTTTGGGGCACCCGTGGGTTGCATGAACCAAACTGCTTAGCTGACATTAACGGCAAACAAACCCTGAGCTACCTCTGCCCTTCCACGCCAAATGCAGCCAGACAGCAGCACAAGCGGCAGTGGTACTGCAGTACTGCTGAGAGAAAACACGAGCTTGTGTTTGCTCTAGAAGCTGCGTCTGCAGAGCAGAGTAAATCAGCAGTGCCGGCAGCTCTGGGTCCATTGGGCTGTGCACTCCACGCAGATCAAAGGCTGGAGGCATGCTGGAGGCCCATCTTTGTTATATGCCCTCTATAAAATTAATGGCTACAGAAAGAGGAGCTGTACAGTCTTGTGTAAACATGCATCCGTGAGCTACAGGGACACGGCTTTGGCTGCAGTAACTCAGTCATAGAGACCATCCAGGGATCGGGATTCAAATGTTGTGTGATTCAAAAAGCAAAGCTCTGCAGTCACTCCTAAAGGCCATGTTACTTTGCATAGGGTAGGGAGGGAGGAAGGAAGAGGCACTGCTGGATGAGCTGCCATGGAGCACCAAGGATTTTACAGATTGAAATAATGCTTCAGCAATGTAGATTTATTATGTTCTGTCACAGTGATTAACAAGAAGGTTAAGTACAGCTTCTAAAGAGGCTTGGTCTTTACTATAACAAGTAGTTTAATGCATATTAGAGAAAAAAGCAAGTAAGGTGGGAGGGGGCCTTCACGCCTCTACTCCCACTATCCTTGCGAGCAGAGCTACCAAAACCAAGCAAAAGCCTCTGAACACCTGGGCAGAGCTTGGCAGAGCTCCACAGGCTGCCTGTGTTGCTTCTAACAGGTGAGCAAAGGTGCTTAGAAAAAGCCAGGTGAACTGCAGCAGTCACCATAGAGTCACTGCATTTTGAAACCCACCTCACCAGGGCCAGAGCACTCCTGGTGCTAGTGCAAAGGCTGCACCATGACCAATAGACTGCAACAGGAGGGCTGAAAGGCACGGGAGGACTGAAAGTGATCGCTGTTTATCCAGCTGCAGCACTCATCGAGCAGCAGGGGACAGAGGGATGGGACGGAGCAAACGTGTTGGGAGTGGACGAGTGGGAGGAAGCAGCCAGCCTCCTGCAAAGAGGAGACCTCCAGAGCGCCTCTGAAAAGGAACATTAGAATAACAAAAAGTTCTTGTGGGGGTACCTGGGTCCCTCCAAACATATGGCCTCTGGAAATTAGCACCATATGCACCATCACTTCTCTACAGTGCTGGTTTTTAGGCAGATAAAAACTCTCCTTATAGAAGTTTGCCTTTCCTGTAGGCTCAGCAGGTGAAAGAGCAGCCATGATCTGCAGCCCACCATATTGCACATACAGAGAAGACATGCTTGCAGTGAGCTGCAGGGCTGTGTCACAGAGCCCTCCATTCTCTTGTCCTTCCTCGTGACCTGTTCAGTGACTCTATCTAAAACAAAACTGCAGTGACTCCTTTTCCCTCAGCCACACAAAGAGATAAAAAGTCACTCTCCAAAGTGCAGCCTCTTTGGGCCCAGAGTAGGGGATGCTTAGTTTTGTAAGTGGGTCATATTTATCCTAATCTGGAAAGTCCCATGTCTCTGTACATTGCATCTTAAAAGCCAGACAGCATTAGAGTGGGTCAGCATGGTGTGAGACCTTTCTGCTGATGGCAGAGATATCTCCTAGCAGTTCTCTCCAGACTGAAACTATTCCATCCATTTAAGGGCATTTCCCAACATCTGGAAAAGTGGCCATTCTTAAAACACTCTTAAATGCTGATGCTAAATTTTTGTTCCCCTGGCTTCTTGCAGTCAGTCTACAATGTAGGCGTCTTCCAGCTTGCTCCAAACATGAGGAATATTCTCCACATATGAGGAATTTCTTTATACTCCATGGCACAAACAATATAAGGAGGGTAGGGAAAACACACAAAGATGTTGTCATTGCTTCCTTCGATCATCCTCACTACACACAGCAGCAGGAGGAGAAATGTAAACATGTAATCCATCCCTGCAAGGAAATCCAGCCATTTCCAGAGCCAGAAGGAAGCCATAGCGAGTTAGAGAGATACAGTTACTTCCTGACTGTTAATTGATGACAAGATAGTTATAGCCAAGCAATTAGTTATGAAATGCAGATTAAAATGTCAGCAGCCCTAGCACAACCCTACTTGGGGCAAGAAGCCACTTTTAGCAGCACAGCCCTATTTCGGAGCAGGCAGAGCCCTGCTGGGTGTGTGGAGCATGGATGGTAGATTTTGCCTGTTTTGAAGACTGGAGAAGTTCTCATAGTCTTCTGGAGATATTTTCCTACGTCCATCAAGGGACAAATGATTCAAGAAAAGGTGGAGGGAGCATTAACTCAGAGAGCTGCAAATGAAAAGGCAAAAATAGCACGTGCCTGCCTGGTAACAATGGAAATACTTGCCATAATTCAATAATCTTAGTTCTAAGTTAAATTAAAGCCAACTGAAAGCTTCAAAACAGAAAACTTTTTATCAGCAGTGATTTCCCTGCTGCATGGCCCCCAGAAAAGTTGTTTCAGGTAATGTCAGCTATGTGTAAAACTCCCTCCAAAGAGCACCAACCTCTGCCAAAGGCCAGGCCCTGTCCCCAGAACAGCTCCATGCAGCAAGGCACGAGATTCTTCAAAGAACCACAGTAATGTTGGACAGCAAAAAGGCTAGCAGGATTTCACTGCCAAAAAATGTGACCAACGCTAAGCTGCGGCACCAGGTTATGCCAGTCACTCATGCTTGCCTCTGAAATCAAACCCATGACATCACCGAAGCTCGGCAGTTGATATCAGCAGCTGTTGAGGATAGAAGTCACTGCTCAGGCACTTTGAGCATCCCCGTGCATCACCACCAGCCCCAGCCCAGGAGGAACCGTCAAACAGAGAGCCAGAAAGAAGACCATGTCAAAAGCGAGCAGCAAGGAGGAGAAATAACTAATGAATTTCTCATGGATAAATTAAGATGATTTCACAGCAAATGCAAAAACAGTAGAGGGAGTCTAATAGTGAAGTTAAGCAACGGACTCAAAAGCATCTCTGAGCATCCACACATTTTAAGAAATGCCTAAAAACACAAAAGAAGCCAAATGAGCCTCCAGAGCCAGAAGAGGAAAATCTGGGCCATCCGCAGCAAGTCCATTAGGCAGAGTAAAATGCTCAAAGGCGAGGGATCAGGAACAGAAATACTCTGACAAACAAACATCTGGGAGAGTCCCTCGTGAAAACAAAGGGAAAGGGCCAAGAGCAGATAACCC